AAAATGCTAGTGCCCTGAGGCCCCTTAGCTGGTTCACATGGCACCACAGCCCCGCCCAGGTGGCAGCTGGGGCTCTGAGAGGGGAAGCATGACTAGCATCAGGGAAAAGAATTGGGGCTAGACAGACAAATCTGGGGTTCAGCCAGGCAGAGACAGCTGAACCTCTCTCTGGGAGCTGATGACACCCCAAGAAACCAACCCTGATGAAGGGCCTAGGAGACGTCAGGCCGTGTGGCAGGCCCTGGGGAGTCTGGGCTGGGCACCCACGATCAGGGGCAGGAAATGGCTGATGACCCAGCAAAGGAGCCTGAGAAGGAGAGGGCTGGAGGGAGCGTGTGTTCAAGAGGGTCCAAGACTGCTGGGAGGTCAAGAAGGAGGAGGACAGAGCAAAGGCCCCCACAGGGGCAGGAGGTCAGTGGCACATTAAGACAAGAGACTCAGGGCTTGGGGGGCCTCAGAGGCCATGCCGTCCAGGCTCCGCATTTCACAGGTGAGGCAAACTGAGGTCCGCAGAGGATGGTGCCTTAGCCACGGCTGCCCAGCGAGTAAGAGGCAGAATTGGAATCTGCACCCAGGTCCTCAGACTGCAAGCCCAGAGGTCTTTGTACCGCCTCAGCCGCTCCCGAGAGGGGGGCCGGGCTTGTCCTCATCACAAACTCTCAGGAGGCCTCCCACAGGGCTGCAGGCCTCTGGACAGCCTGCGCAGTGGCTCCCGAGCCTCAGAAACAGCCCGCCCCGGAGAACCAGCGGCCACCCTGCCCTCACTTACTTCACAGGCTGCTCTTCCTGACGCCCCCTCCGCCAGGGTGGTGCCCGCCTCGGTGTGGGCCCGAGCTTATCAGATCAGACTCATTTCCTTCAGGGGTTCTGATGCGATTGTCTCATTTCCAGAAATACTCCCAAGAGCCGCTGGGTGTGGCGAGACAAAAGCAAGGCCTCACAAATGCCCGGCAGGCCTGGACAAGCCCCAGTCAGCGCCCTCGGCTGCCCATTCTCCTGGGGCCGGGGAAGAGAAATTCCCTGACTGAGTGGGTTTGCCGGTCTTGGAGTCTGGATCGTTCTTTGCCTGAGCTGGGACCCAAGTGCTCTGGCCCCGCGGTCACTGTTTCGGGCCCAGGTGAAGCAGGGGTGGCGCACTGGGCCAGGGAGAGCTGGGAATGCCACCAGATCCCACTTCTGAGGTTTACAAAGGGCTCTTCTCACCAGGGCCCTGCTAAGTGAGTAAAACCAGCCGAGGCAGCAGTAAGACTTGAGGGCGCACAGGGTGATCTACACCCCTCACCTGCCAGGAGCACAGAGCTCGGGAGGCAACGTGGGCGCATCAGAGGGTCTATGCCTGGGTTACTGCCAGGCCACGGGACATTGAGTTTTCCTCCTCAGGTGGGCAGCCTGAGTCCCCTGACTTACCAGGGGCTACAAAGACAAGATGAAAACCAGGCCCAGGCCTGAAAGAGCTTCTGTCTGCTGGTGGACACAATGAAAGGAAGAGGCCACACTAACAATGAGGGGGCTCAGGAAAGGCTTCCCAAGGGCAGGCAGTGAACACAAATATTTATAAAATGCCTCCTACGAGCTGGGCATGGTGATAGGTGTGGGCAAGTAAGGACCAAGAATAAAGTAACCAGTGATCGTAAAGAGAGAAGAGAGCGTGCTCCAGGCATGAGGGACAGTTCATGCAAAGGCAAGGAGGCTGCAGACTAGTTTGGCTGGGATGTGGAGTACAGAAAGAGGAATGAATAATGGGAAGGAAGTCTAGAAAGGCAGGCTGCAGCCAGACTGTCAAGGCTCCTAGAGGGCAAATGAAGGTGTTTTTCATCCTGTCTTAAAAACAGGAGGAGCTGCAGAGAATTCCTAAGAGAGGAAATGATATTGTCGGACCTGCACACTGGGAAGATTATCTTGCTAGATACATGGAGGACGGTTTGGAAAGAGGAAAGCCTGGAAACAGGGATTCAATTAGAAGGTTATTACAAATATTCAGGGAAAAGGGGATGAGGATGCAAAGTAGGGTGTCAGCTATGTGACCAGAGAGGAGAGATGGACAGGACAGATGCTGCTGCTGACTGGTTGTGGAGGGGGTGGGGCAAGAGTCAAGGGTGCCTCAGAATCTATAAACCCGAAGACGGAAGGCTGGTGCCCTCGACAGAAACAGGGAGAGGACAGTATGGGGGTGGCCTGTGTAGCCATCTCCTGGGATATCCAGGCAGTGGGGGCTGGGCTGGAGTTCATCCATGCACATGTGCATGTTCCTTAAACCCAAGGGAGCTCATGACAACACTATAACAAGCATTTATTACGTACTTATTATGCATCAGACACTATGCGAGATGGGGGGGAACTAGGTGGCGCCACAGTGCACTGAGCGCTAGCATACCTGAGGTCAAATTCAGCCTCAGACACTTGATAGATGTGTGACCCTGGGCAAGTCACTTCACCCTGTTTGCCTCAAGTCTCCTCATCTGTAAAATGAGCTGGAGAAGGAAATGACAAACCACTCCAGTATCTCTGCTAAGAAAACGCCAACTGGGGTCACGGTGTCAGATGTGACTGAAATGACTCAACAAAGAAAAATGTGTCAGGCGGGTCCAGAGACAGAACCTTGGGACAGACGTCCAGGGTTAAGGGGTAGGAGATGAATCAAGATGCAGCAAAGGAGCCTGAGAAGGCCAAAGAGGAGGAGGAGGCACAGAAGAGAACGGGGGCTTCTACCACGAAAGCAGGAGCTGCGAGCATGTCATCAGAAACAAGAACAAAAAAGTGACAACAGAAACAACAAAAATCCCAACACAAAAAGAGAGAAACCAGCAAGCTACATCTGGCTGAAAGGAACCCTAGCCAACCGACCACAGCAACCCTGAACTTACATGCTCTAAATGCCACAGCATCTAAATTTGGAAATTTTGGGGTTTTCTTTTACCAATTACATTTTAAAATAATTTTTAACATTCATTTAAAACATTTTGAATTCCAAATTTCCTCCCTCCCTCCCCATCTCCCTCTTTGAGAAGACGAGCAATTTGATACAGACGAAATCTAAATCCGTGAAGGAAAAGTTAACTGAATCACGGTCAGACGTAGAGAGTCACACACTAGTGGCAGGAGAATTTAATGTCCCTCTCTCAATCTGGGACAAAGGCTAAGAGGGGAGATAGAACTCAAGAGGAAGGGGTGGTTGCCAGGGTCAGTCAGACGCGGCAGAGTCAAGAATGGTGGGCACTGGCCCTTGACATTAGCCATTTCAAAATCAACGGTAACTGTGGAGAGAGGTCCCAGCTGGGTAGTGAAGCCAAAGCCACGGTACAAGGAGGGAGCAGGAGGCAAGAAGCCAAAGGCAGCTGCATCAGCGGCTTCTTCCGAGGCTCCGGCCCTCAGTGGAAGGAGGGAGCTGTGGGACGATGGTCCGTGGGGACGGGAGGTTTGGGGGAGCCTGGGCCTGGTGGAAGGCAGCCCAGAAGAGGGGGGACAGGAAGGACCCAGGAGCTCCTGGAGGAGACGGGAAGGAGGAGGTCAAGGGGCCAAGGCGAACCGCCAGCTTTGGCAAGGAGCACCTACTCTGTCCAGACAGGAACAAAGGAGAAGGAAATGGGCGGAAGACATGGCAGGGTGTGGAGACATGGCACAGAGAAGGCTGAGAGCAGGCGGTCCAGGAGGCTGGGCCAGAGAAGGTTGGCCACCGTCCCTACCGTAGCCTCCCACCAGGAAAGTAGACAAAGAAATGTGGCGCAGCCATGACGGCCAGCCTTGGGGGGGAGGGGGCGGCCATGACGGCCAGCCTTGGGGGGGAAGGGGCGGCCATGATGACCAGCCTTGGAGGGTGGAGGGGGGGAGCCTTGATGGCCAACCTGGCTGGGAGGGGCGGGGGTCCTCCAGCAGCACAACTAGGCATACAAGGAACAGTGTGACATGGAGGGGCCAGGGCATCAGGGTAGAGAGAAGGAAGATGAGGCCAGAGAAAGGGCGACACAGGAGGAACAGGAAGAGAGCAGACAGGAGGCACCTGCTGATGGGCCCATCCCGACGGCCAATGCTGGCCCGAGTAGGCCAAAGGAGCACAGCTCTGGGTGCCCATCACCCCCAGCACAGTCTGGGCCTCCCACACCTGTGGCCCTCTCCCCAGCAGCACCTCACCTTCTGGCCACTGCCCGCCCCCCACAACTATACTTAGTGTCCTCCAGCTGTTTCCCGCCCCCCTTTCTGATGAAAGACGCCCCATCGCTGGACGAGATGCCCTCCCACGAATCCTTTCTGGAGACTAGTTGCTCACGGGCCCCTTCCAGAGAGCTAGAGGAAGCAGATCTGAAGGGCACCCCTTCTGTCTACACTTACCAAAGGGAAGCCCCCAGGTCCTTCCCTCTCCTGTGCCCCATGGCTGCAGGAGCCCCTCAGAGCGGGGTCTGCCCAGCCTCACGAAGGCTGTCAGACAGAAAGTGGGGGGGACCTCAGAGGCCACTGAGGGCCTGTTTTACAGATGAGGAAACTGAGACCCCACGAGGGGAACTGACGTGCTGGGGTCATTTTCAGTCACCTCGGACCCTCCATGACTCTATTTGGGGTTTTTCCTGACCAGGAGGCTGGTGTGGTCTACGTTTCCTGCTCCAGCTCATTTTACAGAAGATGAACTGAGGGGCAAACAGGGTGAAGTGACTTGCCCAGGGTCCCACAGCTAGGAAGAGTCCGAGACTGGATTTGAACTCACATCTTCCCGAGTCCAGGCTGGGCACTCCATCCACTGCACCATGTAGCTGCTCTGACTTGCTGGGGCCCAGAGAGCTAACACGGGTCAGGGGTGGCTCAAGAACCCAGGTCTTCCTGACTTCCAGTCCAGCATTCTCCTCAAACTTGGCTGAGGCCATGATCAAACCTCCCCCAACCTGTCCCGAAAACCCAGGCTGCACTGGCACTCTCTCCTCACATGAGATGACACATGGCTAGCCTGCTCTCACGCCCCCTCTCCCCCTCCCCCAACCACTCCCCTCCCCCAGGGTCAGGCGGGGCCTCACCTTCACTGTCCGTGAGCACCTCCATCCGCCCGCTGAACATGGCCTTCAGCATGGTGTCCTGCTTGGTGAGGGTCTGCATGGTGGTGTAGTAGAGGGCTCCCCCCACATTGAGCTTCACGTACTTGGAGCTGGGGCTCGTCCCCTTGAAGGAAGTGGTGCGGGTGGCAGCTGCTGGCACCGCTGAGCTCACCACACTTTCTCCCGACATCTCTTCCTGCCAGAGGTGAGGAAGACAGTCACGCAGCAGCCCCGCCAGGCCCAGGGGAGCACCCCCCAGTCGAGCTGAGCTGCGGGGGGCCCCGCAGATCATATACTGGGGCTCACAAGCAACGGCTGGACGGGGGGAGCGGGCTTGTTCTGAAAGCTGGGGAGCCTGGGAGCCGCCTGCCCAGAGAAACAATTGTACTAATGGTGGCAATTACTATTATGGCACTAAGAGGAGTAATTACTATTCTAGGAACCCAGTGGTGATAAAGTAGAGAGCTCAGCTACACAGTGAGTGAAAAAAGCTTTGGAGAACCTACTGGGGACCCTACCCACATTCACAAGGCTGCTACTCCAGAAACAGGTGCCAGAATCATGGTAATACAGAGTCAGAAAGACCTGGGGAAAAATCCTGGTTCAGCCTTTTACTACAGGAGCGACCCAAAGCAAGTCCCTTCTGTCCTCTGGGCCCCAGTTTCTCCATGTGTAAAATGGGGGGGCCCAGGTCACTGTTGAGCTCCCTCCCTTCTAGCTCTAACTCCTTTGGTCACATTAGCTCCAAACAAGCATTTTGTAAATGGCCCGTGTCTAAGGGGGGGCTCCGTGGACCAGCCATGCAGGTCCCAAGGTGGTCATCCCCAGAAGGCACAGCTAAACTCCGCTTTCCAGCTTGTCCGGCAGCTCCAGGGAGTCAAGCAAACATCTCATCAAACGGGGGCTGACTTCAGACACCGGGCAGAGAATTCCAGGACGGCCCATCATAAGTGCCCTCTGCCAGTTATGTTAGGCCCTGGTGCTCTGAGTATTAAAAAGGTTTCCTCTCCTCAATCTCAGATTCTGAATAGCCTAAAAATAGCCTTCCTCAGACCCAATAAATCAATCAAATATAGATGAAGCACCCCTACGGCCAAGCACGGGGACAATCTCTGCTCTTGAGGGGCTAACCTGGGCGGGGGGGGGCACAACAAATACATCTAAATACAGAGTAATTGTAAAGTTAATAAATACTAAGACATACAAAGCAGTTAAGCAGTTTAGGGGAGGACACTTCAGTGGGGGCAGGGCCTCCTCTATGAGGCAAAAGGAAGGAGTGAGAGCACTCCAGCCTGGGCAGGGAAGGCAGGGGCTGGCTCCCGGCTGAGGACACAGAGAAGGTCAGGCTGGCCCCTTGCAGACAGCAGGCTCCAATGAGGCCGGAGCCAGGCTATGCGGGGCATTGAAAGCTAATCAGAGGAGCTACGCTTTATCTTCGAGGAAATAGGGGGCCAGACAGGGGAGTCACTAAGTCACAGACAGACAGACAGACAAACACAGACACCCGCTTGTGAGGTAGCTGTGGAGGGCTCAAGGAGGAGCTCAGGTGAGAGGAGAGAAGGCGGTTGGACGGACGGACACAGGTACAAAGCGGGAAACGGTGGATTTGGCAAGTGGGCCCTTCTGGACCCCCACATTTCTCAGCACCATCTCCCTCTCCTCTGCCTCCTACTCCTCTCTCAGGACCTGGACTGCCACCCCCTGCACTCTGCTGAAGCCGCTCTCTCCACCAACACCAGTGGTTCCTTTCTCTTTCAATCCCATGGCCCCTTCTCTGGCCTCCCACCTGGAGATCAGCTCTCTTGAGTGTCCCGTGGGCATCTCAAGCCCATCACGGTCTTTCCCCTGCACTTGGCCCTGCCACCTTCCCAGCATGCTTTGAATTCCCTGGGATCCCAACTCGAGAAGACCCCCGTGATCCTTCACTCTGAAGCCTGGAGTCCAACCAATACCACGTCACATCGCTTCAATCTTCACCACGTCTCTCTGCTCGTGGCAGAACAGACCTTCCTCTCCCTCCGTCCAAACTTCTACAAGCAGTCACCTACAGGCTCTCCTTGCCTTCAGTCTCTCCCCCAACCCATTTCCCACAGAGCTGCAAACTTCAGATTCCTGAAGTACGTATATGACTTGGGGTGGGGTGGGGCTGGCTCCCCCGTCCCAAACTTTCAGCGGCTCCCCCACTGGCTCTCGGCTAAAACACAAACCCAAAGGCCTTCACCATCAGGCCACAGGCTGTCTTTTCAGGGCCGACAGGTGATTACCTATCAGCCTCACACACTCTACACTCCAGCCAACCGGCCCACTTGCTGTGATGTATAAGACAGGCCACCTCCTGTTGCTGGCCAAAGCTCTCTCCCACCATGGCCACAAAGGTCTCCTGGTGTCCCTGGGCGCCCTTCAAGGCTCACTCCACTCAGATCTCACTTCCTGCTTCTTCAGGAGCTAGCTAGCCCTCTTCCCAATCTCTGTGTATACTGTGTGGACACTTAGTACTTTACAGTGACACGTCCTAGCTCCCCTTTAGAACAGAATCTCTGGGAGGACAAGGACAGTTTCATTTTTACATTCCATTTCAACAGCACATAGTAGGCCCTTAATAGATGCTTGTTGACCGACTGCCCAAACGCTGTATTTGTTGAACTGAACTGAATATAAATTCTTCAGTCAATATCTGTATTCTGTACAGGAGCCGAACCCGAGCTTTGCCCACAACAACATAACCCAGACCGAGGAACCATATTTCTAACTTTGGGGTGAACCGTGACCCAGAACATAGGAGGTCAGAGCTGAGAGGGCCCTCAGATATCACCTAATCCATCACCCTGATTTTACAGGTGTGGAAACTGAGGCCCAAAGAGGATAAGTGACTTGCCCAAAGTCTTGGCGAATGACGGTGGCGGGAGAAACCTGCTTTGAGGGTGGCATTTCCAACGGCCCCCTGAACATCATCCAGATGTCCCGTGGGCATCTCTTCCTTGATGTGCCCTTGTCTTTCTCCCCAAGCCCTCCACTCTTCCAATCTTTCCTATCACTACCGAGGTCGCCATCATCCTCCCCGTCCCCCGGCTCACAAACTCAGTGTCCAGACTCCGTCCTCTCCCCCCTCTTACCAGATCTTGTCTATGCAGCCCCTTCTCTTGAGCTCTCATAGCCTCCCACCTGGACGACCACAAGAGCCTTCTGGATGGCTTCTGACCCAAACCTCTCCTCACTCGCACCCACCCTTCAGGTGACTGTGCCTAAATCACTGGGCTGACCCTGTCACACACCCCAACGCCCCCAGTGAACGCCTGTGGTTGTTTATTCCAGGATCAAATCTAAACTCCTCGGTTTGATGTTCAATGCTCTTCATAATCCAGCACCTTCTCACCTTTCCGATCACCTCCCCCTTCACTCTCCTCTAGCGCCAACTATATTCCAGCCACATTGGTCTCCTGAAAACACTGTCCCTCACCCATCTCTCTCCTTTTCCCACTGGCTGTCTGTCCCCTCACCTCTACCTATTAAGTTTCCTGGACTTCCCTCGAAACTCAGCTCAAATTCCACCCGGTGCAGGAGCCTTTCTTGGCGCCCCCCACTACATCCCCCTCAGACAGCCCCCAGCAGGCTCTCTATGTGCCTGGCTGTTATTATGTTATCTCCTTCATTAGAGTGCAACACCCCTGAAGGCAGGAACTGTGGTGTTTTGATTTTCATTGTAACCCCAGCGCTTGGCCCAGTATCTGGCACATAGTAGGTACTTAGTAAATGTTTACTGAATTGAACCAGCACATGCATAGATGTTTGATTAATGTTTGTGGACTTGATTTTAAAAAAAAAAAAAAAAAAAGGAGAAAAAAAATCTAGCTTCAGGAAGAATTTCCTGGATTTAAATTTTCTGTCTTTGCTCCCCCCCTCACACATACACACGCTTCACATTCCTAGGCAGTCAGTCTACAGCACCATACCCATAAGAGGAAGCCTTCTAATTCTCCCAAACTGCTTCTTCCATTTAAGAGTCAGCTCTCTGAATAGTACCAGGCTGAACTGCCCCAAGACAATGGCTGAAATCCCCTGACCTGGATTTACTGTCTTCAGATCTGGCAAGAGAAGCTGCACCACTTTCCAAAGTCCACAGGTCAGTTTGTTGAGGGATCTGGAGAGGCCCTCAGAGAAAATGATCCAGCCCCATTTAGCTCCACTTTGGAGCCAGAGTTACAGTTAATCCAGGGCAGCCACAGCCAGGCGGCTGAGGAAGGACCCCCACCAGCTCCCTCCTCCACGGGGGCCAGCCCTCTGCCCTGCTCCTCCACTTTGTCAAGGATTTGATTTCATTATAAAAGTTGTAGTGAAGGAGGACATAGAGGAAAAAGAGGAAACTGATACACAATGTGTCAGTTACCGGTTCTATTCAATCAAAGAGAAGGCTTTATTTATCCCAATCACATGGGCATCTTAAAGAGTTCTCTTTTTTCCAGGGATACCATCCCCTCAGGGAATAACTTTCTTATCTCCCCTGCCGCCCCCCTCCCCTCCAATAACTTTGACTGGTCTGTTTTAACAGTTATGGTGTTAATTAGCACCAGAGGCCCTGCCCTCCCCATCACCAAACCAGAGTGATTCCATGCTCCAGGATGTCCTTACACGTCTTACATTCCAGAACACCCAGAGATTCATTGCCTTTTTCCAAGAAGGTAATTCCATCTGGTCGATGCTTAATGAATAGGGCAGTGGAGGGTGTCAGCACTGGGATCTGGAGTCCTGGCTGCAGCACATCCGGCCTGTGATAAGTCAGTTCTCTCGGGGCTCTCCTGTAAACTGAGGCAGCCTAACCAAGATGTTCCTAGAGCTTCTTTCAAGGCTAACATTCTCTTATTTTAACAGGAGACCCATCCAAACAATCAGAATAACGTCTCCAGTTCTATCAAAAAGTGCCTAACCAGCTGGTCTCCCAAGCTGGTAAATTCCTGTGTTGTTTCTTCTTCAGCTATGACTTAAGATAAATTATAAGAAAGCCTCATAGCAAGCATCACTTCTAGAACTGGAAATCGGACTTTCTATTTTACCCATCAGACAAATTGGATCTACTCCATTATCAGGGGACATTCGAGGCTCGGGTTCAGACAGTTGGGACTACTCCAAATCTCCCTATCACTGTCAAGGGGATCCCACACCTCTCAGTGCCCCGGGATGGCAGCTGGGTGCCCCCCCCATCCAAGCCCTTGCCAAGGCCTTCAACTCGGCAACATCTCTATCAATTTCACCTCTGCAACAAGTCAGCCTTACAACCCCTTCTCTCCCACTACCGTTAGCACTCCATTTCTGTCCCTCATCAAACCACTATTGTAGCTTCAGCTCCGGCTTCTTCCCACTCCAGTCCAACCTTCACTCAGCTATCAAAGTGATCTTCTCAAAGTAAGCCACCCCCTCTCCCCATTCAATACAGTGCAGTGACTCCCTATCACCCCCAGGCTCAAAGAAAAACTCTCCCGGCATTCAAAGCCCTTCCTAACCAGCCCCTCCTTCCCAGTATTCTAACCCCTTACTGCTCCCCTCCTTCTGCTCTGAGATCCAGTGACCCCGGCTTCCCTGACTCCCTGTACTTTCACTGGCTGTTTCCCCATGCCTGGAATTCTCTCCCTTTCCCTCCTGCCTCCGTGGCTTCCTTCAAGTTCCAGCTAAAATCCTACTTTCCACAAGACGCCTTTCCCAATCCCCCTTAATGCCAGCGCCCTCTTTTATCTCAAATTTTTTCTGTATGTATCTCACTTGGTGGTGCAGTCTCCCTTCTTTAAAGTATGAGTTCGACTAGAGCCTAAGCACTTAGCATGGTGTCTGGCACACACAAGGTGGTTAATAAATGCTTACTAACTTCAGAATTTTCCATTTCCCCTTCCAGGCCAGCCTGCCCAGAAGGGCCCGGCCCTCTGGAGGACTCCTGGACATTCTTAAGCTTCCCTTGGCTAGTCACGGCCATTCAAAGGACATTTCAGGCAGGAGGGATGGTGGGACGAGAATGGGAGGGGGCTGTGGCAAACAAAGAGGCAAAGGATCTGGGCAGGCATCTTTATCTCCGGATACTCCGTCACTTAAGGTGCAAACAAATGAACAAACCAACTTCTCCATTAAGATCCAAAGAGGAATGTTCTCCATTCTAGTCACCTCAGACCTTGGGAGAAAAGGTTCCAATTGCCTTGAAGAAGGCCCCATGACTGACCTTCCCCCTGGCCCTCCTTCCCTGACTGCCGGGTCCTCCCAAACCAGACCCTAATTTCCACCCCTTCTCCATAACTCCTTCAAGCAACTGCTCTCAAAGACTCCTTGCAAAAGTCCTCGAAAACTGCTAACTGTCCAGGGAGCCCCTCCCCATCATAAAATTACTGTTTAGAGCAGGAAGGCACCGAAGGGACCGTTCAGTACAAGCCCCTCCTCATAAGGAGACAAGGTGGGTCAAGTGCTTGGCCAGCCTTGAAGTGCTACGTACAGCAAGTGCTGGCGATTGTTATCATTACGTGTTAAACTCTCATACAGGAGATTTTGAGTAGAAAGGGACCGAAGAGATCAGCCCATGCAGATTCACTACGGAAAGACCTGGAGCTACAAGCGACCTCGGAAGCCATCTCGTCCCACTCCCACATTTTACAGATGGGGAAACTGAGGCCCAGGGAGCTGACTTATCCAAGCTCACACGTAATTACGGTCATAGTTCTAGAGCTGGAAGGGTTCTGAGATGTCATCTAGACCACTTCCCTCATTTTACAGATGGGGAAACTGAGGCCGGGGAGGGGAAGCGTGGCTGCACCGCAGGCCGTCGCTTCCACGTCGGGGTGGGCTCTCGCCCCCCCCCGCCCGCTCCGCCCGTCGGGCCCCTCCCCATCAGCGCCCGTAGCCCCCTCCCCCCGCTCCTGTCCCGCATTTACGGGGCGTAGGCTGCAGGGGCGCGGCGCCCGCCCGGGGCGCCTTCCCTCCCCTCCGCCCCGCGCCTGCCCTCTCGGGCTTCCCCGCACCCTTCCCCTTCCCCCGGGCCGGCCCGGCCCTCGCCTTTCCTGCCCTGCCCAGCCTCCGCTCACCATGAAAAGCCCGAGAGCGCCGGAGCCGCCGAGCCGGGACCGGGGCAGCCAGGAAAGAGTTGGCGCAGGCGCACGGGGGCCGCGCCGGGGCGAGCCGGGGCGGGCCGGGGCGGGGAGGGGCGGCACTTCCGCCCCGCTGGCGGCCCCCGCTTCCGCCCCGCAAGGTGCCTGCGCCTCAAGCCTCCGCCGCACGCTCACTTCCGGCCCCCTTCGTCGCGCTCCGACCTCCTCCTCGGAACGTCTGTGAGGTCGGGCCGCGTTTCCGGACGGAACGCCGAGGCGCGGACGGCCCGGGGGCAGGATGGCGGCGCGGCCTCGGCCGCTGTCCGGGGCCCGGCGGAGCGCGGGGGGATCGGGCTGAGGCGGCCCTGGCCCCGGCCCCGAGCGGGTAAAGGCGGGCGGCGGGGACGCGCGCGGCCCGGGTCCGAAGCGGGTGGGGCGGCGGGAGCGCGCGCGGGGTATGGTGGGGGAGGGGAGGCGCGTCGTCGTTGTCGCTGTTGTTGTCGTCGTCGTCGTTGTTGTCGCCGCCGTCGCGGCCTGCCGAGGTCGGTCGGAGTCCCCGGGTCCGAGTCCAAGCAGCTTCGACTTCATCGAGGCCTCCCTCCTTCCCCCCTCCTCGTGTGACAGCTGGGGAAACTGAGGCCCCGAGAAGGGCCTCCTCAGAGGGCCGGGTTGGACCCGGGCCCAGGACGCTTGGGGACCTCAATAATCAGCGCCCGAGGCAGGGCCGAGTGGGGCAGAAACTCGGACCCCCCCTTGCTCCGGGTCTCCCGAGGCCGAATTGTGGCCCCCGTGTCACACCCCTCCCCCCCCAGCCCCTGGGTCCGGCCCGTTCACTCATTCACTCACTCACTCACTCACTCACTCATTCATTCAGGATACACCCGCACTCCCTTATTTTGTGCGCCTCAGACTCGGATCTGAAGCTAGTTAAGTCAACACGCATTTATTAAGCGCCTGCTGTGTGCCAAGGTGGGGAGAGGCAGGAAAGGCAGAAGTCGTGGTCCCTCCCAGTCTAATGGGGAGGACTCGGATGGAGACAGGACATACTGCAGATGCTCCGTGCCACCTCCCCCTCCAGCCAGGCCCCCAAGAGGGGTCGTTCAGCCCCTTGTGGACAAGCCCCCTGGCTTCCTGCAAGCCTCTCCGTTGGGAAGTTATCCCCAGTTTGCTCTGGCTTGTTGTACACAGTTGTTTAGATGTCTCCTTCCCCATTAGACTGGCAGCTTCCTGAGGGCAGGGACCAAGACTTGGCCTTTCTTTGTATCCCCAGCAGCACATAGTAGGGCCCTAAAGTCTCATCCCCTCGCTTGGCCTTGACCTCGAAGGGCCTCTGCCACTGTTAAGGTCGAATCCACCTCAGGGAGAGCACACCCACTCTGCCCTTTGGGCAGCTGTCAAGTGTTTCTTTACCTCAAACCCAAGTTTGCCACTTCATAACCTCTCCCCTTGTTCTGCCCTCTGGGGCCAAGGAGAGCAAGTCAGATTGGGGGAAGGGGAAAGGCATTTATCGGGGGAAAGGCATTTATCGTGCCTACTATATGCCAAGTGCTTTTAAAAAAAGTTTACAATTATTATCTCATTACATCCTCAAAGGACAGTACTTCCTACAAGCACCTCCTGTAGAGGGTCAATTGAGATAATGCAATGCTTTACAAACATTAAATGCTACATAAATGTCAGTTACAAGCATCCACGCTGCTATTATCTCCATTTTAGAGTTGAGAAAACTGAGGCAAACAGAGGCTAATTGACTTGCCAAGGGTCACCCAGCTAGTAAGTGTCCGAGGCCAGATAGTTGCGGTCAGCAACTATCCCCCACCCCTTCTGTTCGGTTGATCCTCATGATTTGGACCTTATAGTGTCTCTATAAGGCGTGTGCCTTCCTCTGGACTGTCTCCACCTTATCAATGTCCTTTCAGAGCTTTGAGTGCCCAGAGTTGAACATGTTACTCCAGATGGGGACTGATAATAATCCTCCACATATGATCCGTTTGGCTTTCATCCCCAGCTGCCCTTGGTTAATAGAAAGCTAAGGTCCTGAACTTTGCAGCTGAGAAATCATTGAGTCCAATTGTCTAGAAGAGGCCACTGAGCCTCGGGGAGGGGACCTGATGTGCCAAGGTCAGGTAGGCAGTGACAGGGTTGAGATTCCAATTTGGGCCTTCTGACTCCAGAGTCCCTGGCCTTTCTCTGGAGCTAGCCAGGAGCATAGCCAGGATGAGGCCCTGGGTCTCCCAGCCTCTGTCCAGGGGCAGCCGGACCTAAGTGGCATGTTTTAAACTTGGAGTCAGCACTTGATTGGCCCTGGTCGTTTCCTAATCTTTGTGTGTCCCTAACTAGAAGATGAGTGAGCATCTTAAAGGCCAGGCATGGTTGTAGGTAGGTGGCCCAGGAGCAGGCCATACATTGAATGAATGAATGAAAAAGCTTGCTGTGCTCATGTGCTAGACCCTGCCTGAGCCTTGGGGAGAAAGAACAAACAAGCAGGGCCCCCCCCCCCAAGCTGATTGTTTTAAATGCTCATTGACTGAAAAATAGGGCTATGTATCAAGTTTGTTTACCTTGTGTGGTGTAAATATTTGGTTGGTTGGTGAATAAAGTTTTACGAAATATCTTTACAGTACAGTATTGGGGAAAGAAAGATTGTTAGCCTTGCAGTCGGAAGCCCCGAGTTTGAATCTTGGCTCCAACATGGTGCTAATGCACCAGTCCTGACTCCTCACTCTCTTAAGACTCGATGTTTTCCATTTCTTTTTAGTTCTTATGTAACGAGGAGGAAGCCTGGCCATTCGTCTCTGCTCATTAATACCTATATGACCTTGGGCAAATCACTTGTATCCTCTAAGACTCCAGTTTGGACATGATCTCCAGGCTCCCTTGTAGCTCTAAGCTGCGATCCTGTAACCCCACCCCCACCCCTGCTGGTGCCTGCTTCTATCTAAGTGCCGTGCATGTATTTACATTTCTTTGTTATCGATTGGTCTATATGTGTAATTTTCTCTAATGTTAGAATGTAAGCTTTCTAGTAAGGCTTGTTTCATTCTTTGTGCTTGTGTCCCCAGTGCCCAACACAGTGTCTGAGACTAATAGGCACCTAATAAATGCTTCTTAATTGATTGATTGAATCATGGGCAAGTCGCTGTACTTGTTACGAGTTTCAGTTTCCTCATTTGTGAAATGAGAAGGTAGTACCACTAGTACCTTCTTCAAAGAGTTATTGCCAGGATCTGTTAAGATAATGTGATGCTTTACAAACATTCAAATGCTATGTGAATGAATGTCAATTACTAGCCTCATCCTGTCACACAGTAGGTGCTTAATAAATGCCTCTTGATGGATTGGTTTTCTAGGAAGGCGCCTTGGAGAAGATGAGTTTTGAGGTGGGCTTGGCGGTCAGGGATATGGTTTAGATGCCTTTCTTCTCCCCTTATCCTGAGGGATGGAAAATTGCTCATCCCGGGGAGAAGGCCATCTTGATAGGAAGAGTCCACATGGTAGGTTTCCACAGCTTGGGGCTGCTCTCTTGCTCGGCTTCTCGGAGCATTTATCGAGCTTTAACTCCACTTTTGAAGGGTCCTGGCATGTGTGGATGTGAAATCAGCCCTCTGGGTGCAAGAGAGTTTGTGGAGACTTTCGTGTCTTCCTTGAAATCCTCGTGATTTCACTCATTCCGGGCTGCCATCCCTCCGAATACAGAACACCCATTCTTAGATGGCTGCTTTCATGTTTCTCCAAACTACTAGACACAGTCCTTGGCCTCTCCGGTGGTGAAACCCATCCCTTAAATCTAGTCTGACCTTTTGTTTTATTTTATTTTATTGATCTTTTTTATCATGCCACCTTCTTTTTCAGTCTCTCCTACCTAATAAGCCATCCCTTTTAAATGAGAATTTTTAAAAAAAGAGAGGGGGGGGGAGGAAGGAAAGTAATTGTGTTAAATATTGGTTCCCTTTAAATTAGAAATCCTGTTGAAATCCAACCTTAGCATTTGGCCCAAAGAGGTTAATGAAAAGAGTATGGTGAGGTTTCTTTTTCGCCTTGGTCGGGAGAGTGAGTTATGGGGACAAGAGCATCGGAGCTTAGTCCTGGGGAATCTGGACGCTGACGCCTCACCTCCTTACTCTTGGTACGAAGGACAGTTCTCAGAGAGTGGGATTTTGCATATCTATCAGAAGCAGTCATTTGTTTTTATTTCGTTTTTTCTTTATTATGGGGAAAGGTTCAGGGGGTATTGTTATTGGAAATTCCCATGATACAAACACATTAGAGGCACCAGCAAAACTTGGACTCAGGACTCCTGGGTTCATATCCTGCCTCTGACGCTGCTTAGCTATGTGACCTTGGATAAGTCACTTGAGCCTGTTTCCTTTTCTGTAACATGGGGACACCAGTAGATTTAGAGGGAGAGAAGACCTCTTGTCCAAGCCCTTCTCTTCGTTGGTGAGGGTCCTAAAGCCTAGAGAGATAAAGTCACTAGCCCCAGGTCAGACCAGCAGGAAATGGGAGAGTCAGAATTTGAACCCTGATCGTCTTACTCCTTTGCCACTGAACCATGTCCTTTCTACCTGCAGAAGTTGTGGGGCAGGGTGGGGTGGGAGTGGGGGAGGGGACTCACTAAACCTCAAAGCACTGTAGAAATGGGAGTCAGGGAGGCTGCTAGGTGGCACAGTGGATAGAGCACCAGCCCTGGATTCAGGAGGACCTGAGTTCAAATTCGGCCTCAGACACGTAACACTTACTAGCTGTGTGACCCTCGGCAAGTCACCTAACCCCATTACCTAGCCAAAAAAAAAAAAACAAACAAACAAAGAAATGGGAGTCAGGAAATAATGCTTCATGAATTGAATTCAGCTAGTCATCCGGAATTTTTTTCCTCTGGTTTCTTTAGTCTGAGACGACGCCAGAATCCAGATAAAGTGAGATGCTGCCTTAAGTCTCAAGCCCAGTGCTTCATCGAATGATCATCGGGTATTTCTGCAGGAAAAGCAGATCCTCAGGTGAGCCCCGCCTCTTTCACTGGGGGAGGATGCCACCCCATTAAAGGGAGCTGGGCGTGGGATTGCCCAGCCGGCTTGGCCAAGTCGTTGCCACTGTCTTCTGGAGAAAACACGCCCTCCGTTAACACTAGAAGGGCTGCAATTCCGTGCCGCCTCCGTGGGCAGAGATTTTTTTTTAATCCATAAAATGAGGAAACAGAGATGTAGCATGAAACCTGCTACCTCTAGGTAAATTAGGATTTTTTTTTTGCCTCAGTTGATGCCTAGTCCTTCTGATGTTGATTCAGGTCAGGGTCAAAGGTGAAGGCCTCTTATCCCATCAGTGGGATGATGGCAGAGGGGGAGCCCCCTGGTTCTTAAGTGTGTTAAGTTCTCAACAGATTCAACTTTGTCGATTTGTTATTTTTTTCCTGCATCTCTTATTTATGTTCCTTTTTAAGTGACTAAAATGACCTAGCTAGAAAAACAAATGTAAAGAAGTCTGGAGAAACTGGGCAGGACCCTGGAGAATAGATGAGGAAGCACATGGCTGCAAAGATTGCAGTCTGAGGAGCTGGGTTCAGATCTTCCCTGTTTGACCTTGAACAGGTGACTAGCTGCTGGGGCCTCAGTTTCCTCTGTAGAATGATCTGGCTCTCTGATGGGCACAGAAGGGAGGGAGTGCACAGGAGGGAGTCTGGGCCTGCTCCCAGCCAGGGTCTTCTCCTCTCGCTGGTCAGCTTTGCTAAAATGGTTAAATTGGTTTAAGAAAAGGTTGGAGGGGCAGGGGTGGGGAAGGAGTGTGTTGCTTAAAAATAAAAGAAGGGGGGGCACAGTGGATAGAGCACTGGCCCTGAAATCAGGAGGACCCAAGTTCAAGTCTGGCCTCAGACTAAACACTTGACACTTGCTAGCTGTGTGACCCTGGGCAAGTCACTTAACCCCAATTGCCTAAAAATAAATAAATAAAAATAAAAGAAGGCATCTGTAAGACGTAATACAATAAAATAACCTAAGCTTGGCTCAGACTCTCAGTTTGTTCCCCAGGGATCCCGGCTTTGTTGTCCTTCCTGTGCCCAGTTAACAGAGGCATGCCCTTTATGTGCATCGTGGTAGATGACTGAATTTATGGGCATCTAGAGCGGTGACTGTCGCCTGGGAAGCTGTGCTGCCATTCTTGTATCAGGCTGCTAGCACTGGCCTGGCTTTTTGTGGCCTACAGGGGTGGCTTGCTCAGAGGTTTTCAGTAGCTGCCCTTATGACAGCTCTTGGGAGCTAGGTGGTGCAAGTGTGATCCCCATTTTACAGATGGAGGAAGTGAGGCTCAGAGGTGGGAAGTGAGCTAGGAAGTGGCTGAGGTGGTCTGTCTACTACTCCAGGCTATAACCTTTAAAGAATAAACCACTGGTTACCCAGAAGAATGTGGGGCTGCAGTGGGCATAGGGATCTCTTGGATCAGGGCAGAGTGGAGTGGGGCAGTCAGGAGGACCTAATCAGATCCTGCCTCTGGCACTTGTGATGCCAGCAGGGAGTTGCTTTACCTCCCTGAGCCTCCTTTTCTTCGTCTGTAAAATGGTGGCCAGAGCTGGGCCCGAGGGTCTCTGAGGCCCCTCCTGCTCGGAGTCTGAGATCTCAGGAACTGAGGAGGCCCCTTCTAGCTCAGTGCTCCTGTTTGTTCAGGTAAATAAGGCTGAAATCGTTAGACTCTGAGCTGGGAGGGATCCTCGAAATCAGCTGGCCCTTGCAAGGCCCTCCTCGTTTTACAGATGGGACACTCGGGTCGCCCTGCTGCTACGACTCAGCTGGGATTCTGCCACGCTCTCCCCTTAGAGACTGCTTGAGTTCCTGTGCTGTTCGTTGGCCGGCCTATCTTATTTGGGTCTAGACCTTTGATTTCATGAGCTCTTATATATGTGAGAGAGAGAACAGAGCATAATGTATGTGTTGTATACATTAATATACAAAGCATGTACTTTATGTGTGATAAAGCATATGGTATAAAGTATAAAGAGCAGGGACCAAAGGTGGGGCCCCTCACAGGTCTGGCCTGCCCCTTGGCCGTATGACCCAGTACCATTATCGTGTCCAGCTGGTTCCCTGGGCACTGACGACGTGCCGCCTCCAGCTGTTCTGGACCCTGCCCTGGCCACCTCACACGGCTGTAGCCCATGATGATGCGTTTTGTCTTTATGTTTGGTTCGCAAAAGGTTTGCAGCAATGTTCGGCACATCCCAGTCTGCCCGAGCCCAGTTCCTGGACAAAGCTCGTCAGGCGAGGGAAGAGAGGCGGGGACAGAAGGAGAAGGAGCGGGCTGCCGTGCAGATACAGGCCGTGGCCCGCGGGTTTCTCTGTCGATGTCGCTTACAGAGAGACATCAGGTGGGTGTAGAATCTCTCAGCAGCCTCTGCCCAGCTCCTCCCGCTGGGGCACTGGCTTTTGGTTTCCCTGCCTCCACCAAAGCCCCCTCTTGATCCCTCACCGGGGCGTGGCTGTCTTTCCAAGAGCCCTTCCAAGTTATACGTGGGGAGTGGGTCTTACCCACTGTAGGCTTCTGTCACCCCAGGACCTGGCCACCTGGGCGATGAATTTTTGGCCACGGTTACGCCCAAAGTCCACCTACCAAGCTATAGAGAAGGGTGGTCTGCCTCCATGGAAGGCAGGCCTCCACCAGCAAACCCCGGAGATTGGAAGGAAAAGGCCCCAGGTGTCTTCCTGCTCTGGTTAAACTACTCTCTCTTCTTCCTTTCCCAGGAAAGAGATCGATGAGTTTTTTGACACCATTGACCCAACTGGAGCCAATAAAAGAAGTGCACTTTCTCTTTTTAAGATTGCCCGGAAGCTGTTGTTCATATTCAGAGCTAGAGAGGATGAGCTGGTAAGGCGACCTCCCTCCTGCATATGTGTGTGTATGTGTGTGTGTGTGTGTGCCCACCCACCGGCTGCCCTGCCTTCTCTCTGTCTGTGCCGACTGGTTCTGGGCAGAGTCCCAGGGCATTGCTGAGAGCCTGAGCAGAGCGACCCTGGGTGGGGAAGCCGGGATTGCCACCAGGCAGCTAGTGATTTTTTTAGGTAGAAGAGTAACCTTTGCTGTTGTGGCCTTGTCTTGGCCATGGTTCATGGCCTTGGAGCCGCTCCAGGCTCGTCCCTCTCCTTCCCCTCTCTCCAGAGCAATTCTTGAATCTGGCCCTTTCTCCTAGCTCTCACCTCCGCCACCCCTGTTCAGGTCTTCATTAACCTTCCATCGCCTTGTTGCCCTCCCTGAATCGAGGCCCTCCTCAGTCCAGTCCAGCCTCCATCCAGCTCCCAAAGCCCACATTCGGTTGTCTCACCGCAGCCCCTCACTCAGTAAGCGTCAGTGACTCCCTGTTACCTCCAGATCAAACACATTCCTCTTTTTGGTCTTTAAGGCTCTTCACCAGCTGGCTCCTACCGGCTCTCCAGCCTTATTCCGTGTCCATCATTCTCCCTCCCCACGCTGCCCACCACCCTCTTCTTGCACACAACATTCTGTGTCTGTCTCCAGACCTTTGCGTGGGCTCTTGTCCACATCTGGAGCATGTGCCCTCCTCACTGCCACCCCTTCAGACTAAGGCCTTTGACCTGGAACCTTTTTTCATCATACACCCTTATCGATAAAAAACAAAACCAGAAACCTTTAAGCCCTCATTGTCTCTGTGGGTGATCATGTCCATTGTAAAACATAGGCCAAATATAGAAATAAAGGAAGAGATGACAATCAGATAGGATTTGTTCCTAGAAACAATGGGAAGCATAGAAGTTTATCGAATAGGGAGTGATGTGTGAGACCCGCAGCCCAGCTCCCCCAGCTCCAGCTGTGGTTGTCCCCTGAGGCCCACCTTGGGGACCGCTGTGTTAAAATTCCTAGTTGACTTCAGAGCCTGGCGCAGACACCCCCTCTTATGGAAGACCTTACTTGGCTTCTCCAGCTGCCATTCACTGCCTCCCCACAAATCAATTTGGATTTTATCTATACATGTGTGTATGTATGTATACACATGTTTGGTTTATGTTAACAAGTATTTATTAAGCACATTATGGTCTAGCCTGCGCTGAGTGCTGGGGGTACAGAGGAAGGCCAAAGACAGCCCCTGTTCCCAAGGAGCTCCATCTAGTGGCAGAGACGGCATGAAAACAATATATGTAAGCTAGCTCCATACAGGATCAACTGGACTTGATCACGGAGGGAGGGCCTGAGCATTCAGGGGGATTGGGAGGGGCTTCTGGCAGAAGGTGGCATTTTAGCTGGAACCTAGAGGAAGCTGGGACACAGAAACGAGGAGGGAGAGAATTCTGGGCATGGAGGAAGGTCTAGGAGATGAAGAAGGAGCGGTTAGGCAGGCAGGACGAGGACCAGGAGATGAGACGGTGTCAGGAAGAGGGTGACTGATGGGGGCAGGGGCTTCAGAGGGGCTGGGGCTAAGAAGGATGATCGTTGAGAAAAGACCATTAGATTTGGTGAGGAAGGGGTCATTGGTAACTGTGGATATCTATTTAGAAGGAGACATGCTCTTTCCCCCTCCTCGAGCCAGGACCTTTCGTTTTTGTTTGGATCCCCAGTGCCTGGGACAGTGCCTGGCATATCATGGTGATTGATAAATGCTTGTTGGTTAATTTTCCATCTTGAGGTGGGAAAGACGATCTGGCACCTGGTTGCTGGCAGGCCGACAATGTTAACGACTGTTTGCTGAAGTTGTGATTTGACCGTAGTGCTTCTCTTGTCCAGTGGATCTTCGAAGGCCTGCCCCGTCCCTGGCGTGGTACCGGCCTTTAGAGCTGGCGAGGATGAAGCAGACCATTGGGCTGCCCTTGTTTGGCAGCCTTGAGGCCCAGGAGTGAGATGAGCCTGTCACTTTGTCCTTAACTGTGCGTTGTTAGGAACTGAGATTTCCTTAGAATGGGAATGGGGCGGCATCGTTCCTGGTCCTGGGAGTTTGTAACCTGTCCCGCTGGTTCTTTGCAGAGGTTCGGAATGCTGTGCCGCTGCATCCTAAGTAGCATGGAGCCTGAGAATGAACCTAAGGTGAGTGGGAGGGGGCAGGATTAAGAACCCCAAACCTTCTCCGGCCCTCTGGCTTACAGAGTGCTTTCTTTCCAGTGACCTGGAGAGCCAGCCTCTGGGTTGCTGTTTAAGGGCTTCAGAGAATTTTATGCACCTGCCGCTGTGGGATGCTAGGCAAATCCCTCTCCTGCTCCGGGCCTTAGTTTGGACCAGAGGGTCTCTAGGTCCCTTTCATCTGTAGAGCAAGGCTGCTTTGAGATGCGTTACACATGTGTCCTTATTGTTATTATTTGTATGATTGTCTCAGATTATTGATGTTAGAGTTGGGAGGGACCTTAGTGGTCCTTTAGCCTAAGCCCCGACCCTGCCTTCAACAAAACAGCCCCCAGAAGGGAAGATGGAGAAACTTCGGCTCTGAGAGACGAGGCCCATGGTCCTGATTCCAAGTCCAGGGCACTGGCCACTCGTCCAGGCTGCCTTGTTCAGGGCCCAGGGGTGTGAGAGGGAAGAAAGGACTTTGTGGTCTTGTCCTCTGGAGGTTTCCTTCTTATTGGTCTCTGAAAATTCCTCCTGAAAGTTCGATGGCGATCCCTCACTTCCTTCATTGCTGTGTTTTGTTTTCTTTGGCCTGAAATGGAGCCCGAGATAAGCATGGCCAGGGACCCCTGCCGCTTCTCCCCAGGGAGGATGTTACCAGAGCAGGAGCCCCCTCTCCAGCTGTCTGCAGGCACGCTGGCAGCTCTTTGTCAGTGCTGTGTCAGTGAACTTGGCATTGCCGTGGGGATCTTCACAAGCCTCTTTAGCAGTCCCATGCTGAATGTCATTCTTTAGGGTTTTCCTTTAGAGATAGCAAGTGTGGAGATACAAATAAGGAAAGAATGATTCTTTAGTCTCCTGACCATGGAGGCGGGATGTACAGTGGATCGATGCCTGGACCTGGAGCTAGGAGGAGCTGGGGTCAAATCCAGCCTCAGATGAATTCTAGCTGGGTGACCATGGGCAAGTCTCTCTCCGCTGGGCCTCATCTGAGAAATGGGGATGGCCACCCTTGCAGTCTCTTCCTCCCAAGGCTCTCATCCTACCCCCGCTGGCAGCCATAGCTAGAAAGGCAGACACCCCTCTGGACCCCCTCCCCTTGGAGTCTGTGCTGAGGTCGAGTTCTGTGCCAGGGCCAGTGCTCTGAGTGCCAGGGCTGAGCAGGGCAAGGAGGCTACTGGCTGGCCGTGGTAGCACAGCGACTCGCTTGTGCCCACAGGTGTGGTATGTGTCCCTGGCCCTGTCCAAAGAGCTCACTGTGCTCTGGATCAAGCAAATTAAGGACATCCTGTGGATCTGCTGCAAATATCTGAAGTACCTCAAGGTAAGGGACCTTGTTACTGCCACTTACCACAGTTGAGTTCCGTGTTTGTGACGCTCCCAGACAAAGCTGAGGCTGCAGGCGTTTCTGAGACACATCCTGTGCGCGGGCCTGTGTGGTGGCCCGTGGGTAGGGAGGCTGTGCTCCAGGACCCGCGGCGTTGCCCTCAGAGGCTCCTGAAATCCCCACCTGGGCTCACTTGAAGTTGCTGTGGTCTGGGATATGACTCCTCTTCGGAGGCCCCACCATGACAAGAGAGTGACCCTGAGTTCTCCAAGTCCAAAAGGTGACGGAGCTTGTCATCATTTGTACTGTCTGGTGTACTGGGGTGGGGGCCTGTGTGAGACATCCCCAACAAGACTGTAAGTGCCATGAGGACCTGGCAAAGCATACCATGCCCAGGAGGCGTTTCAGAAACGGCGAACTAACCCCAGAGTTAAAAAGATGAAGGGAAAAGTCTATCTTGGCCCAGTTTACTGGGATTCGGAGTTCAGGAGGCTCAGCCTAACTGGTGTTCTGATGACCTGGATTGAGAGCTGATCTTTCTCAATACAATTGCTTCTGTTGTCCCCAGCCTGACATCTTACAAGACTCTAAACTGATCTCACTGTACCTCACCCTACTTGTTAACTTCACAGACACATCAACATGGAAAATTGTCCGAGGAAAAGGTAGGGCACCCTTTCTTAAAATCTCTGGTGGCAAATGGTTCAGTACGTATGGCTCTGTGTAAATTTCCTCATTTTTTGTGTGTGTGCACGCGGGTGTGTGTGTCTGTGTATGTGTGTGTGTGTGTGTCTGTGTTTGTAGGGAGAGAGGTCCTCTATCCAAAACCACATGGGTACCTGTTGCAAACTCTGAATCCCATTTATAAGCATGAAGTACATCTCAGCCTTCAGATCAACTGTCATCTGTAACATTTGTAAGAAGTGCTTTGTCTCTGGTTAGGTTTGAATGTTCGGAGACCCGTCCTGAGCTGGAATGGGCCGCTGGGCAGGCGGTGGGCCCCATATCCCTGGGAGTCTCCAGGCACACCCCAGAGGCCCGTTGGCTGGGGAGGCTCTAGAAGATGTTCTTGGTCAGGTGTGGGGCAGCCCACCATGAGGTCCTATTTGCTTTCTTTGGTGGATTATTTCCTCTGACTCAGCCTAGAATAAAGTGCTGTCAGGGACCTTAGAGCTCACCTAGGCCATCTTCCACATTTGACAAAGGAAACTGAGGCCCGGAGAGATGAAGCGTCTGCCGGTGTCCTCCAAGTAGTGACCGGCAGACCTGGAGGCCTGCACTGGGTCACGCACTGGCTTATTCTTCCCACCCTCTTCCACCCCAAGGTGTTCTAAGCGATGTCAGCCTTGTTGGGGGAGTGGCAAAGAATTCTGTTTGGGTTGTAAAGATTGCCTTCTGTGGCTTCCTTTCTCTTTGGGGGTGTCCTCATCCCCAAGCACTTTCTGCGTCAGTGGATTCAAAGACCTCCGGCATCTCTCTACTCACTCTTCCCCTTTCCTCTGACAGAACAGTCAAAATCAGCCCAAAAAGGAAGGTGAAGCATTAAAGAGTCTTCCATTTCTCCTGGGCGTGTGGCCAAGACTTATTTTTGTTGCTGTTATAAATGAAGTGGCAAAAACGGCCTTGGATTGGGAGTCACAGACCTAGGCCTGACCCTTGCCTCTGCCCTGTATAGAACGCAGAGTTGGCAGGAACCTGAGGCTGCTTTGCCAGTCTCCAGCCCCCTGAGATTCCCCAGCATAGCACCCCCAATAACTGGTGGGTCAGACTTCTGCTTGGAGACCTCGAGGGAAGCCTTCTGAGAGACAGCCCATGCACTTGTGGGTAGCTCCCGTGGCCTCACGGCTTCCTGTTAGGGCCGAGAACAGGTTGCCATCCCTCCACCCCCACGCCCACTGATAGCCCTACAAAGACTTGAAGAGAACTGTCGTGTCTTCTCACACTCAGCCCTGAGCCTGCTGGGTCCTAGGCTCCTGCCAACCCTCTGGGGGCCTGGACTCGAGGCCTTTCCCCATTCCTCATACGTTCTAGCTTCACAATTGGTGTCGAGCCCTGAATGCGATACAGTGGGTGTGGTCCAGCCAAGGTGCCCAGAGGACTCAGGGATCCTCACCTTTGTCCTCCTGGACTCTTTGCTTCTCTTCCCAAGTCCAAGATGGCATTTGTTTCTTTACTGTCTTACGTGCTCATGATTCCTTTGGAGCTTTCAGAACCCCCCCTCCCCACCCCATGAAAACTGCTAGATCTTTCTCAGACTTCTTGTCCCATCTTGTATTTGTGAAAGTCATTTCTTCTTCTTTTTTTTTTGCTTAAAGTAAATGTTTATTGGCCGACTGGTTCCGTTATACTTCACCCTTACACACTTGGAAAAGAAAAGCAAAACCCTTATAAACATGTATCCATAGTCAAACAAAACAGAGTTCTGCATTAGCCATGTCCCCAAGTACGTATCTCATTAAGCCCAACCTGAATCGGCCACTCTTCCCTCAGGAGGTGGGCGTCCTCTGAAATCACGATTGGTTTTTGTGTTGATCAGAATTCCCGAGTCTTGCACAATTGATCGCCTTTACAGCGTTGACGCTATTATTTAAATTGTTCTCCTGGCTCTGGTCACTTCACTTTGTATCAGTTCATACAAGCGTTCACAGGTGTCTCTGAAAACATCCCTCTTGTTTGTCCTTCATTCTCCTCGAGGACCATGACATCAGGGAGGTGATGCCGTGATGTGCAAATGAATTGAATTGAAGTGAGGGAGGGCTGTGCAAAGTCACCAGCCTCACTGTCTTCTCTGGAGCCATCAGGGTCCAGTGGCCAGATATAGATCAGGGTGACTGGAGATGGCCCCCCCATCCCTTTTGTAATTTCTTAGGACACAGTGGTATTCCGTTGCATTCATATATCATTATTTGTTCACCCATTTCCCAAAGGATGAGCATCTCCTTGTTGCCAATTCTTTGCCAGTGAAGGTGATTTCTTGAACTGCTGTAACCTATTATGAGTCATGTAGGACTTGTGATTTTTCTCAGACCTCCTATTCTTTTAGGAGAGTCCCTTCGGCCTACCATGAACCATCTCTGTGCAAATATCATGGGGCACCTCAATCAGAATGGATTGTATCCTGTTCTACAGGTTGGTTGTTCCTATAAACTAATATTTCGCTATGCACTGGAGTACTAGAGGATGTGGCTCTGGGTTTGAAGTGGGTGTTCTGGGGGCTTTGCTGAGGGGACCATATTTTAGCCAGAGAACCCCAAGTTAATTATTAGGTTCCTCGTTTCCCTCCCCTCAGCCTGTTTGGCATTCGTGTTTAGGGTGGAGTGGGGTGGTACTTTCTTACTGAATGACTCTACCTCCCACCTGTTGCAGCCTGAGGTTGGTTCTGTTGAGGGCTCCTGCTCCCTTTGCTAGAACCTGGGGAACCTCCTTTCTTGTGATCCCAAGTTAGTTGGTCAAGCACATTGAATGGTTTATGTCTAATTCTGTGACCCTGAAATTTGTAGACCTACTCCGTGTCTCAGTCTTGTGCTTTGTGCCTTGGAAGAGTCGTTTGTTGGAGAGTGCCAGACTAGGAAGCGAGGGGAGAGGGAGGAAATGTGCCCAGGTAGAAAGGGGGGAAGGTCCTGGCTCCAGAGTCTGGCCAGGCCAAGTGCAGATTCTCAGCCCCCTCTGGCGGGCCCGCGAAGGCAGGGAGCAGCACCACCATATGGGGAGGTTTGTCAGCCTTCCACTAGAGGACAGAGGGCTTTGGTGGCCCCTGAATCCTCCTGAAAGTTTGTAGAGTGCCATCAGATCCCATCCCTTTGGTCCGTTTCTTTTATCACCTGAAAACGGTGCTCTTTGGTGGTAGAATCAGAACCCCTCTTTGACACATGGCCATTTTCTTTCAGATCCTGTTAAGAAATGGCCTGGCGAGATCCAGACCGTCCCTGACAAGAGGCATGTTGGCTGCATCCTTTACTTTGGCTTCACGGTGAGTCGTCTGCGGTGCAGGGAATGATGAGTGATGCGGTGCGGGGGCCTAGGGAGGCCTGTCCAGGCGAATGCGCCCACCCTTTGGGAGGCTTTCCCTCAGCCCCGCCCAACAAGCCAGGTTGGAAAGAGCTGCTCTGGGCCAAGGCCTGAGGCACCTCCTCTCCAGGAAGGAGTCTTGGCGATCATCTGTCCAACCCTCATCCCTTACAGGGGAGGCCACACTACTAGGACGTGGCAGTTGGGAACTCGGACACAGCTCTGGGGCTGCAGTCCCCTCCTCCATTCATCGCAGCACCCCCGCCACAACCCCTGCTTTGAAATCCCTAACATTGTCCTTCTGAAGCTTTACCTGCTTCTGATGATAAATAATTGCTAGTGTTTACAGAGTGCTTTACGGTTCACAAAACACTTTACAAATATTATCTCATTTTATCTTCACAACAACCCTGGGAAATGGGCACTGCTATTATCCCTGTTTTACAGATAGGGAAACTAAGGCTGAGACAGGTAAAGTGACTTGTCCAGGGTCACTACTCATTGTTGAATTAAGATGAGAGGAGGAAAGCAATCCAAGCAAACCCTCTTAGTTGAGGCAAACGTCCAGGTTCAGCCTTTTCTTTACGTGGTTTTAGAGATGGGCAGCAGCCTGGATGATGTGATACCAGTGACCCCTTCCAGCTTCAAGCCACCACTTATGTCCCAGAGTGGAAGGGGCTACCTCTGGAGCCAGAGGCTTCGGTCAGAAGCCTGGGTGGCCACTTGTCAGGGATGTTATGGAGAGAGCCCTCCCCTCCCCTGCCCTCCCTTCGCCTCCCCTCGCCTCCCCTCCTGGATTAATGGGACATGGATCGTTGGTGTTTGGGATCCCGGGCCATTGCACTGACATTCTGAACCTCCCCGACTTTCGGCTTTAGCCAGATGATTGGTCCCAGGTGTGTTCTAATGGAAGTTTCCCGTGACTAGAAATGCTGACATTCTCTCGGTTATTGGGGTTCACCTCTTTAGCCCCGTTGGAGTACACCATGTTTGCAAAACACGGTTTCTGCTTTGGGCACGCCGCCCCATATCTCCCTGTTGGTTTCTCCGGCCTGTTGCGGCTGTCACTGATGCTTTTCTGGAGGAGGTGAACGCCTTGGGGTGGAGAGGTGGTTTTGGAAAAGTGGGTGGACCGCTAGTTGCAAGGCAATGTGTGATAAGGTGTCTGTTTGTATCCAGCCCCGTGATTGCTGCTCATTTTTCGGACAATCTCTTACGACCGTTCCTCATCCATATTATGTCAGTGCCTGCCTTTGTGGCGCATCTCAGCATGCTTGCCCCCAAGGTGAGTGGACCCCATTGATCTCGCCCTCATCATCTCCTTGGCTTTATACTGAACGGAAACTCACTTGGTTTTCACTTTCTCCTTAGCAGCCTTTCTCCATATGTTTTCTTCCCCTTTATTGCATTTACGCAAAAGCAAGCCTTCCTCTCTGTGTAATTCAGTATGCCTAAATAGCCTGAGGCCCCCTGGGAAGGGAGGAGGCTGTCCCCTCAGCCTGGGAAAGGGAGACTGGCTAGGTCTCCCAGCAGCTGCCATACACCTTCCGAGAGTCGAGGACCCATGAGGTGTAGTGGACTGACTGGAGAGGCCGTTGGCCCCCCCTTGCTGGAGAATGACTTTGTTTAAGGATGTCGTGTCAGGGAGGGTTTAGACCAGGCAGCTTCTCAGGGCCCTTCCAGCTCTGGAATTCTGGGATTCTTTTCTGTGCTCTGATCTCAGTCACCCTCCCCACCTCCATTTTCATGGTCCTTGGGAATCAGTTCCACTTTCTCTGGGTGATCTTTTGCTCCCTCCAACCCCCTGCCTTGTGAAGCTTCAAATCGGGGCTTTTGTCTCATGCCCCTGAGCTGGGCATTGGGGCAGAGGGGGCTCATTTCTTCAGAGCATCATTGCCCATTCTTCTTTTGGTGGGTGTTTGCATGGGTTAGAAAAAACCTTTCACATGAAGAAATTGTGGCTGTTGGCCTGTCTTGTTTTTATTCAAATGTGACCCTCTTCCTGTGCCTTTCAATGCCTCCATTTTTCACTGGTGGTGATTCTCTTTCTGGCAGCGCCTCGTTGTGCTAGAATATCACGACTTTCTTCGCAAATTCATTCTGTTTCTGAGTCGCAGGGATCAATGCGTGGACGTCTGTGAGTGCTTGGAAGGGAGCCACACTCTCTGTTTGCTGGGTAAGTGCCAGGAGCTGGAGGTGGAATGTGTTCTGGGAATGCAAGAAAGACAGTGACTGTTGACTGAGTTCCTTGGAACAGACCAGGAAATGTTCTGAAGAGGGTGGGCAGAATCACTGTGTTTTGAAGAGGGGAAATGGGAGAAAGCCATTTTACAGATGAGTAAACTGAGGCTGAGAGAAATAAAATTGGTCTAGGGTCACAGGTATAGGAAGCAGCTGAGGCAATATTCCAGTGGAGATTTTCCTCACTTTGTACTTTAACAAGCACCCTTGGAGCTCGTCCCGTGGGTGGGTTCTGTGCTAGGCACAAGAGATATAAAGACAAAAAAGCCATCTAGCTTTGTCTGCTTTCTCCTGGGAGAAAAGAGCATTGACAGAGGGAATTGGTGACAGTATGTACTCGTTTCACCCTCTGAGGGGATCGAGCGCGAATCACCAGGGGAGAATCGGGAGAGTGCCCTGTGTGAGGTGGCCCCGGAGACATCCTTGGGAGGACGCTAGGGATTCTGTGAAGCTGTGGGGGTTGGGGTTGCAAAGACATGGCAGTGGGAAAAGGAATGTCATGGATGGGGCACAGTCCAGTGGCCTCTTGGACTGGAATGTTGAGTCCATGAAATGGAGTCATGGAAAAGCAGCCTAGGAGGCTAGATTGGATCCAAATGATGAAAGATATTGCACGCTTGGCAGAGAGATTTGCATTTTATTTGAGCCACTGAACCTTAACTTGAGCAGGGAAGTGACAGGATTGGCCCACTGCTGTAGGACTGTCGGTTTGACGTCGGTATGGAGGATAGAGTTCTGGTGACTGCATACAGGTACACGTACTGCAGGCTCTTGCAGTCGTCTCAAGGAGAAGTAATGAGAGCCTGAACCACCCAGGGGGGTGACCTTGTGAGTGGGGAGATGTCGTGGGGATTGATTGAGATTTAGAAAGTGATTGGGTATAGGGATGGAGGGAGAGTAAAGAGGGGAAGGTGACGCTGACTTTATGAAGCTGAGTGTCTGGCAGGCTGCTGCTGCTGCCTTCAAATGAAATAGGGAAGTCTGGACGAAGGGTGCGTTTAGGTGGAGAGGTTTTCTTTTGAACACGTTGAGTCTGAAATGCCCATGAGACACCCAGGTGGAGATGTCTGATGGGAATATATAACATAAGATTAGAGCTTGTGGGAGAACACTGACTAGATATGTTAGATTTAGGATCCATCCGCTTTGAGATGATAATTGTACCTGTGGGAGCTGATGAGATCACCAACAGAGAGAGGGAGAAGAAGTGAGGACCCAGGACTGGGCCCAGAAATGGATAGTGATCTAGCAAAAAACATTGATAAAGAATGGTCAAACGGGGACAAAGAGACTTAGGATGGAGCAGGGTCATGAGAACCCAGCTAGGAGAGCACATCTGGGAGGAGGGAGGTGAGTGCTCGTTAATGTCAGAAACTGTCGAGAGGTCAAGAAGGGTATAGACTGAGAAAAGGCCAGTGGATGTAGCCATCCCCACGTGCAGCACTCGACTAGCCACACTACTTCTTGAATTGGCTAGGAGACTGGAATGGTTTACCTTTCAACTCCTTTGCCTTTCAGCCTTTTAACTAACGCTAAGATTCTGATTCTGGAATAAATGAAATAATTGATGTGTATTTTGAAAAACATGAAATACTGCATCACTGTATGATGGTATCCTTCCTGTGACTATTTGAAATGAACAGGAAGGACAAAGCACATAGATGAGAGCTTAGCATTTCCCATCAGCTCATCTCTAATGACAGGAAACATTTAGCTCACAACCAAGAGAGAAGCTAGACTAGGCCCTCTTTAAGGCCCCAAGACTGGATTGCCTGTGGTGTCCCTGTCCTCTTCTCTAACAATATTGGGTTGTCGTCTGTCTTGTGGTGAGGGAGCTGAGGTTCTGTAGCTCTTTGTGGCTGCCCTCCTTTCTTGAAATGACAAAGTGTCTCTGAGAGTGAAGATCCATTTTTTTCGGAGGGTAAGATGCCTTGAGAGCCTGCCTTAGTGGGAAAAGCAGTGGATTGAGTCAAGTGACCTGAGTTCAGCTCGAACTCTTGCTAGCTTTGTGACTATAGGCCACATACTCTAGCTTCCCTGAGTTTCAGTTTTGTCATCTGTAAAATGGGAATACCTGCTCACTTTAATCTGTAAGGTTGTCATAAGGAATTAGCTCCTGTTTCTAGTGCTTTACAGCATGATTGATTACCAACTGTGAGGCATTATAGAGATGTGAGTTATCAGGTGAGTAGCACTTTAATTCCTCACCATCCCCAGGAAGAGGGGAGGAGTGTTGCTACTTCCCAGCTCCGGTGGCTGCCTCTTCCGCTCACTGGTGTTGCTTGGCCTGCAGTAAGAGCACACCAGTGAAGCTCATAGACGTCCTCGGTCTGTCTGAGGGCATCCCAGACATCTTCCTTTCTTCTTCCTTTCATTGCAGGCAACATCATACACTTGGGTTATCTTTCAAGCAGAGTGTTAGAGGAGGAGACGAAGCATTTTGTGAAAGTGCTCATTGAAATGCTGTCCTACTGCCAGCAGTATGTGTCCCTGAAGAGGTCAAACCTGACACACTGGCACCCTGTCCTTGGGTGGTTCTCCCAGTCAGTGGACTATGGGTGAGTGCCACAGAGTGAACCTCCTGGGAGTTGTGCACTGATTCTTCACTCGGTCAACAAGCAGTCAGCCGGTCAAGGCAGTCAGCGTTATTCAGCCTCGACTGTGTGCCAGGCACTGTACTCAGTCTGTGTTGGGGATATAAAGAAAGGCAACACTCCAGGCCCTGCCTGCAGGGAGCTCCCAGTCTAACGGCGGAGATGACGTGTGCATGTCAAGGTCTGTGCAGAATAGTTCTGGGGTTATCTTAGAGGAGCAGCCCTGGTAGTTGGGGACTTCAGGAAAGGACCCGTAGGCGGTGCTTGAACTGCTCATTAAAGGAGACGAGAGATTTTAAGAGACACTTATATAGCTAGGTGACAGCCATAGTGCATGGAGCTCTGGGCCTGGAGTCAGGAAGACTCATCTTCCTGAGTTCAAATCTGGCCTCAGACACTTACTAGCTGTGGGACCCTGGGCCAGTCGCTTCTTCCTGTTGGCTTCAGTTTCGTCATCGGTAAAATGAACGGAGAACCACTCTAGTGCTTTTGCCAAGGAAACCCCGAGATAGGGTCATGACAGCAATATGAGAAGGTAGAGCATTTGCTTGATAAGGCACAGAGATGATATGGATTGCCATGTGTCAGACCAGTAAGAGGGCCAGTTTGACCAGACCGTGGAATGTGTGAAGGGGAGGAGTGTGTAATATGGTCCAGGAGGTGGGGTTGGACTGTTGTGAAAGACTTTAATGTTCACATGAAGAGTTTGTATTAGATTTTTGAGGTAGGAAGGAGTTACTGGGCTTCGTTGTATCTGGGGATGAGGTGATCAGACCTGGGCTTTAGGAGAATCCCTTTGGCTAATGAATGAGAATGGATTGGAGAGGGGAGAGGCTTAGGTCGGCAAGACTGGCGAGGAAGCTACAGCAGAAGTCACTGAGAGAAGTGAGGAGGGCTGCCTTCTCATAGAGACAGGGGCAGAGAAGGAGAGACCAGGTGATGCCTGGGGATCAGAAGAGGCTGAGAAGGGGGAGGGGCAGGAGTCGGGCCCCAGGCTCATTTTGGAGAGGATGCCAGACGCAGCCACTGTGGGGAAGGGACTGGAGAAGAATCCTGTGATTTTATCAGTATCGGGAATGTCCTTCACCGTCCCCGTAGCCTCTCATCTCAGACAGTTGCCCACAGCACTGAGAAGGGAAATCATTTTCCCAGGGTCACGTGGCTAGGATGGGTCGGAGGCAGGCCTAGGTTTTTCTGACTCCTAGCCCCGCTTTCTCCCTACATACCGTGTTGCCTCTCCTAAAGAACCAATTAAAGTTAACAAGAATTTATTTAGTGCTTACTGTGTACTAAGGACTGGGCTAAGACCTGGAAAGCAAAAGGAAAGCCAACCCCTACCCGCAAGGAGCTTACACTCTAATGCGCTGGGGGAGCAGAGGGCAGTTGAGGAGGCAGTGCGGGGGTGGGCTTAGGAAAATGTGAGTGACAGCAGGGTAAGGGGACAAGGGATTTGAGAAGACAGGACAGTGTGGAGTTGAGCCTGGGAAGAGAGGAAGGTCAGATCAGAGCAGGGGGGATGGCCTGGGGAGCCAAGTGTCCGTGAGGCCAAGAAGAGGCCTGGAAGGAGGGAGGTCCAGAGAGAGAGGCAGTGTTGTTCCTTTTCTGTTGGTACTCCCAGCACGTGGCACCGTGCTTTGCACATAGTAAGCATTTAGCAAATGCTTCATTCATCCGTTGTTAAGAAGTTATGGTTGGATTCATGACTAGTACAAATTCCCAAATCATTGGGAAGACACCAAGTTGTTGAAAGCCTCGGGCCCTTGGAGCAGGTAAGCAGCATGTGAGCATATGAGTGAGCATGTGAGCAGCAGACAGGGAAGCTGAGGCAGTATTGGGCTACCCACCTAGGAGAGGTGCGGATTTTAGGAATGAGGGGAGCGGCCTCTCTGTATCCTGCCTCGGTCAGACGTCATTGGGAGCATTGGGTTCAGTTCAGGAAGAACACTGATAAATGGGAGGACAGTCAGCATGATGAAGGGGCCTTAAGCTCCCCTCATGAAAAGACCCAAGGATGTTTAGCCTGGGACAAAGAAGACTTGGGGCACCTAATATCCTCAGCTGTTTGCAGGCACTGTTGTGTGGAAGAGTGATGATCCTCATTCCACGTGGTCCCAGGGGGCAGAAGCTGTGAAGAGACCAGTTGAGACTCAGTGCTTGCTGTAAGATCCTGCCAAAGGCGGGAAGGGGTGCCTTGTGGGGGTCTTTAAGAAGAAGCTCGGGTGAGCTCCTCTTGGGGATGTTGTACAGATAGGTTTCTGAGTGTGGGTTGGGCTTGAGGTCCACCAAGGTTTCTTCCAGCTCTGGGGTTTTGTGAGTCTTTGTTGATTGTCTGCTGTATGCTTTGCCCTTCTGGGGAGGGGTCTCCTCCTTCAGGGATCTAGGAATCCAGGTGGGGCAACGAGTCAGTAATAAGTCTGTGCCTGTGATTGCTTGGACGTGCCTGAGGTTCTCTAAGAGACCCTAGGAGAAGACAAGGAAGAGCTGGGCTTTGGTGAGGGAAGCTCTTGGCCTTGGAGGACAGACCCAGAGGCATGGCAACAGCAGTGAGTGTGGCACGTTCTTGGAATGGGAAGAGATCAGCTGATTTGAGGTGGAATAGGCATGTTGGGTGGAGAAGTTTGGGGCTAAGTTGTAGACTGTGAGGGAGACACTGATAGGGAGCCATGGAGAAACTTTGTTGGGGGGCAGTGAGCCAAGCTGCCATTACAATTAGTCCGGCTGCAGTATTCAGGTTAGATTGAAGGGCAGGGAGCCTGGAAGAAGGAAGGCCAGCTGAGTGGCAGGCACATTAATCTCGGCCTGATATCCTCCGGGACGTTCTTTTATCTAAACTTTGTATTATCCCCAGCGCTGCAAAAAGTAAATTTTTAATTACTATTTGTCTAGTGAACAGATGGGTGAGTGTGGTCATCAAAGTGTGGACCAGGGTGATAGCCCTAGTAAAGCAGATGGAGAAGTGTTATGAGAGCCCCTGCTGGCCAAGATGGCCTCCTGTAAACCCTTTCTCCTGATAGCCCATGGTCTCATTCCTATCAGCTAGAGAAACTAGATTCATCACCTCTAGTTAGAAGGAAGAAATTCTCTTTGTAGTTTCTAGTGTTACAGCCAAAGGAAAGGCCTCCACGAGAGGGGAAGCTGAGATGTGATAGGTTTACAAGTTGGTGATGGGAAGGAGATGGGGAGAGAGTGGCCTATCCCTTACAAGAGGACTTGAAGTCACTGTTGAATGACCACCCGTCAAAATCATTGTAGAAATAATCACAGACAGACGTGAGCTGGACCGCATCACTGCTGAGGTCTCTGAGACGTTTCAGACAGAGGACTGACAAGGCCCAAGGCATGGAGGTGGGGGATGGAGGAGAGAATGGGCCCTCGGCCCACGGGAGAATGAGGATGCTGGTGACTCAGAGCAGGAAGTGGGGAGTGGGGCTGCTTTGGTGGGGACGGGAATGACTTTGCGGTGCTTTGCACCCAGCAGGCACTTTCTAGGTGTTGGTTTGACTTGATTTTGAGGGTGATTTCAGTGTTGGGCCGGATGCAATGCCATCCAGGGAGCTAGAGCTGGGCAGCAGACAGAGCATTTCTTAGGGACTTATTGACTACAGTGTGTGAAGAGCTGGGCGTATACATACAAGGAGTAAAAGGACTTCCCTGCTTCCCTCAGGGAGCTTACATTCATGGGGGGCCTGGCACCCGAAGGGAGGAGGCCAGGGAGAGCAGCCTCATGAGAGGTGGGAAAGTCCTCCTTGAATGTAACCGCCGGCCTCTGCTTCCTCTCTTCCAGTCTGAATGAGTCCATGCCTTTGCTCACCAAGCAGCTGCAGTACCTGTGGGGGGTGAGGGTCATCCGCATTCTCTTCCGAGACATCCTGAGCAAGAAGCTGCTGGAGAATCCCGAGGCCAGCCACGTGGTGGCCACGCCGTCCACGTCCCCACCCAACAGCCTGCCCGTGAAGAGTGAGTGAGGGCCCTCGTGCCCACCTCCCTGTTGGCCTCCTGCCGTTCCACTTTCTGGGCATCAAGGGTGGGTTGGGGGCACTTTCATGCGCTGTGTGAATCAGTCCAGTTGTGCATGAACACACACTCAATGTGGCTCTGGAGGGTCAGAGGAGTTCCATGGACGACTCTCCATGCCAGCAAGCAGGGTGGGCTTTGCCTTCCACGTCTGTTTGTCTGTCTTCCACTCAGCCTAATGCCTCTCCTTGAATAGATGGTGAGCCTGCGTGGCTGACAGAAGCTCTCCTTCCCTCATGAGGCTGAATGCCACATTGTCCATGGTCAGACTGGGCTCACAACCTTGGTGAGCTTGTGCCCCAGCGACCTCGCTTTGGAGAATCCTGGGCCAGCTGTGTCCCAGCCCGAGGAGCTCGAGTAGCATCGTAGCAGAGGGTGCCTCAGGGCTTGGCAGACCTGAAGCTTTATGTGGATGGTGGTTTCAAACTGCTGTTACTTATACTTGTCAGCTCCGTATCTGCTGTGATTAACACTGCAGTACAAAACTCTCCTGGAAAGTTGCTGATTTGTTTGGAGAGGTGCCCCAGCCTGACTTTTTGAGGTGCTTTTTGAGGCTTTGGACTTTCTTTGAAAAACCTGCATGGTTCTTGTGTAACTCAAAATGTCCATTAACATGTGGGATGTCAGAGTTGGAAGAAAGGCATTAAGATATAGAATGTTCTGGCTGAGAGATCCCTTCGAACAGGGGATGTCAGAGCTGGAAGGGGCCTGAGAACAGGGAATGTCAGGGCTGGGAGGGGCCTCAGAAGAGGGCATGTCAGAGCTGGGAGGGGCCTTAGAACAGGGGATGTCAGAACTGGGAGGGGCCTGAGAACAAGGAATGTCAGAGCTGGGAGGGGCCTGAGAACAAGGAATGTCAGAGCTGGGAGGGGCCTGAGAACAGGGGATGTCAGGGCTGGGAGGGGCCTGAGAACAAGGAATGTCAGAGCTGGGAGGGGCCTCAGAACAGAGGATGTCAGAGCTGGTAGGGGCCTCAGAGATTCTCTAGTTCTGCCTCCTTGCTTTTTTGCACAGTGACACTGAGACTCCCGAATGGGGCAGAGTGCTTCCCTATAGTTAGTGCCAGATCTGTACCTAGAGTCTTGGCCTCCGATTCTCTGCAGAAAACAAGAGAGCTGCCTGGAAGGGTTACATCCTTCACTTGCCTGCAGCATACGTGGCAGTTAAAGTCAAGCTGAATGACTAAAGCAAAGCTGTCCACATGGTCGAGCTCTGAATGTAGAATAAGGTGAATTAAGAGCGCTCTGCCCCGTGTAGAACGAGGCCAGTCAGACAGGAAAGAAGCAAAGGCACCACGATGTTTATTTTGAGGGCCTGGCATGCAGTGGGAAGTGCTGGCCCTGGAGCTGGAGGAGCAGGGCTCAGAATGCCGTGGCCCCTCCTGGGGGCTCCGTTTCCTCATGTGTCCGAGGAGGTTGGACAGGGGTTCAGCAGGCCTCGTTGAATACCTCCTGTGGACACAGCCCAGGCCCGCTGTCGTGTCCGTCTGAAGACACGGATACCCCAGGCTCTGTTTCGCACCCCGCCTCCCAGGGGTTCCCTTCCAGTTTGGGGCCATAAGCTTGCTCCCTCATCAGCATGTCCGCCATCATAGTCTTTGGGAGCCCAGGCTTAGTTTCAGCCCACAGCAACCACATGAACTCCCTCTGTCCAGGGCTCTGTAAATGTCAGTACTGGGAGACTGCGCTGGGCTTAGAGACAGGAGGACAGAGTCAGATCTGCCCTCTGATCCTTCTGAGCTGTGCATCCTTGAACAGGTCGACCCCTCTGAGCCTCTGGCTTCAGCCTTGGACTTGTCTCTTAGGTTTTAGACAGCTCTGGAGTAGTCGTGTTAATGGCGCTGTTACCAGCGAGGCATCAGAGCAGGAACATCGTGGTGTCCAGCTCGCAGGGGCCGTAGAGGTCGACTGGGTTTCCGTTATCAAGTCTGTGAAAGCCTTGCGGTGTATAGTTTGTGGTTCTCTGGGGAAGAAAGTCAGGACCCCGGAGGTGGCTCTCACAATAGCCCTCCCTCATGCCGGTCAGCCTCTGGCCATTTAGAAGCCACGTAGGTTTCTCTGACTCTGTCCCTGGGAACACATTCCACCCGCTGGGCAGCCTCACCACTCCTTCGTTTGGGGGAGGCCTTCCTGTCCTGCACTCAGGCGGGACCTTCCCTTCCGCCAGGCCTCTTCAAGCGTGCGTTCCAGAAGTCCTCGTCGGTTCGGAACATCCTGAAGCCCATCGGCGGAAAGCGTGTGGACTCACCAGAAGTACAGAAGGTCTGCAACGTCTGTGTGCTCTACCAGACCGCGCTGACCACTCTCACCCAGATCCGACTGCAGATCCTCACAGGTTGGGGACCCGGGGTCCTCTGCCCCTTCTCCCATTCTGTCCTTTGTTCTCCCCATCTTAGAGCTGGCGACTCCACTGCACTCAGATGACCCCTGCAGTCCCCTCTGGCCCTAAATTGAGGCTCCTTGGGTTCTCCTGGGCATCGGGGCTGGCCACGGCCCAACCTCTTTGTACCTCTTTTCCTGAGTCCCCCTCTGCCGTTGTCTTTCCCCATGGTGGTTTGAGAGGAATCTCAGTCAGGGAGACACCTGGTAAATCCATTGTCTCTGTGCTGCCGAGCAGGGGTCCCCTCCTCCAAGACCCACACCCACATTGAGTTGGGACCAGATCCCAAACCATCACTGTCTTCCTCTCCTTCCTGTTCCCTTCTGGGTTTTGTTGGGGTTTTTTTTGGGGGGGGGGCATCCCAGTGTCTGCCACAGCTGCAGCGGTGATGCTTGAGGCCTTGTAGGAAAGGAGCAAGGGACAGCTGAACTTTGGTCAGTGTGGGCGGAGGGCCTCCCTGTCAGTTGGATGGTGTCTGCCAAGTTGCTTTTGGAAGCATGGACCTGTTTCTAGAGGGCTGGGCCACCCAGCGACCAGGAGCTAGCCGGCTGCTGTCCCATCCCTCACTCAGTGGGGCGTGAGGTGATCAGGAGAAAAGGTCTGATCTTGACTCCGGGCTTTTCTCTGCCTTTCCAGGCCTCACTTACCTAGATGAGCTCCTGCCCAAATTGTGGGCATTCATCTGTGAGCTGGGCCCTCAAGGGGGCCTGAAGCTCTTCCTGGAGTGTCTCAACAGTGACAACGAAGACTCCAAGCGGCTGCTGGCCATGCTGACGTTATTCTGCGACTGTTCGCGGCACCTCATCACGTAGGTGTCTCCCTGGGTTTGGGCTGCCCTCCTAGAGAAGGGGGTCCTCCGTCTGAGGGTGTTCCTTGTAGCTACAGCAAAAGAGAAGGGACAATGTGTTCGTGTAACATTGGAAGGGAAGCCTCCAGGCCAGGTGGCGTCCTGACTGCGAGACTGGACGTGGGTTGAGTGGTGCAGTATCTCAGGCTCACTAGGGACCTCCGAGGCCCCTCCCAGAGAATCTCCCAGCATCCCCCAGGAGCGGCCATCCAGACTTCCCTGGCAAGTGTTCCCTTACTCCCTCAGGAGGCAACCCCTGGCACTGCTGAGGAGCTCATCCTTTGTTACATCAGTTCTAAAATGACCTCTTTGTAGCTTCCGCACATTACTTACGTTTCTGCCCTCAGATAGGACAGAACAGGTCTATCAGCCTCCCAGATGGCAGATCTCTGAAGAGAGACGTCATGTCCCCAGCCAGGCCGTCCTGCTGACCCCTCTCTGGGGCACCCTCTAACCAGAGCTGAGGGCAGCAAGGCCATTGATCACCTCCCTCCCAGAAGGGACCATTTTTACTGCAGCAGCCAGACGTCCTGGCCTCTCTCCCCCGCCCCATCCCCAAGGCTTTTTTCAGAAGAGTTGCCCCCTTGCTATCTCTTTCCCAACCCACGTGGGCTTATTCTGGGTATTGTGGTGGTTTGTTTCAGAATATTTATCTTTGTAGAATATCCTCTGTTTCTTTCAAATGTTTAGTTTTGCTAGCATATAAATGTACATAGGTTCTAATAATTTTTTTTATTTCATCTCGATTGCACTTGTTTATTTTTAATTTTCACAATTTAATCCTTTTCCCTCTTTTTAATCAAGTTAACTAGTGGTTTATCAGTTTTCCTAAGTCTTTTCAAAAGACCACCTCCTATTTTGTACTTGTGGGGTTGATTTTTTAAAAAACTAACAAGCATTTCTTTTCTTTCCCTCCCATCTCACCGCATTCCCTCCCCCACTGAAAAAGAAAAGCTAGCATGCTTTTCCTTGTGGTAGTTGACATCAAACTGGGAAGAATATTCAATATGCTAGATGACGAAATCCCAGAGATTTTGGCCAAAGATCAACATTGAGGTGATCATATTTATACAGGGCTTTAAGGTTCACAGAATGCTTTACAAATATTATCTCATTTGAGCCTTACAGCGACCCTGGAGGTTAAGTGTTGTTATTATCCCCACTTTACAGATAGGGAAATTGAGGCAGGCAGAGGTGAATGATTTGCCCAAGGTTCCACAGCTAGGAAGTACCTAAGGCTGGATTTGAACTCAGGTCTTCAAGACTCCAGGTCGACCACATTTGTTCGCTGTGCTACCAGCTGCCTGAATCTAATGAGATGAAATTTAATAGCAATAAATGCACTTTGCACTTTGGTTTAAAAAAAAAATGAACTTCACAAGTACAGAATGGGAATGGCCTAGTTAGCAGTTCTGGGCTTTTATGGATGACAAGTCTAGCTGGAGTCAGCAGTGGTCATGGTGGCTCCCTGCTCTCCCGCTTCCCCCTCCTCTGGGCATTACAGAAGCAGTGGAGCCCCTGTGCTCTGCCCTAGTCAGACCATGTCCAGACTGGTCAGTTTTGGGGGACCTGCTCTGTGTAGGACTTTGACAGTGTGGGGAGCATTGCTCCATCCCTAGGAGGGCGGCTTGGGGCACAGTCTGTGAAGGGTGTCATGGGGAAGAGAAGCCGGGAGAGACAGGAGGCGTTGCAGGACACAGATTGAGGCTCATTGTCGGGAAAACCGTCCCTGTGGTGAGAGTCGTCAGTCAGTGTTTACGAAGCGCCGGCTGTACCCTGGGCTGCGTGGAGGGGCACAGCTGCCCCTCCCTTCTCGTAGGGGGATTGTGTTGGGCCGGGTGGTTCCTGGCGTTTCCCCCCTTCTCCAGTGCTGGGATTCTGGGGCCTTTTCTGCTGCAAAAGCAAACATTCTCCTTGCCGTCTTCCGATAGTGCTCTCAGCATCAGCCCTTTCTTTTTCATTCAGAATTCTCGACGACATCGAGGTGTATGAAGAACAAATCTCCTTCAAGGTTGAAGAGCTGGTCACCATCTCCTCTTTCCTGAACACCTTCATCTTCAAGATGCTCTGGGATGGGCTTCTGGGTAAGGAAGGAGAGGATCACTGATTGTCTAAGGCTACAGGCCTTCCCGGAGGCCTGGGAGGCCTCATCCTCTCTCCTTGGGTGACCAGATGTATCGTTCATAATGGTGGAGAGAGGGGCTCCACGGTGAGCACAGGGACCTGGGGGAGTGGGGGGTGTCCCAATTCTGGCTCCACATGTGTGGTCATAGGCAAGGTTTGTCACCTGTCTGGGCCTCGGTTTCTTCCTTTGTAAAATAATAATAACTCACATTTATGTAGCACTTTATGGCTTACAAGACACCTTTCTCTCAACAACCCTTTGTGGGGCAAATATTATCATCTCCATTTTACAGAAAAAGAAACTGAGGCTCTGAAAGGGTAAGGAACGTGTCTGCTGTCTGGACAGTCTAGTAAGTGTCTGAGGCAAGATTCACGCTCAGGTCCAGGGCTCTACCTTTCATGGGGTTAATAACAATTATGTAACTAACTTCACAGAATTGTCTGGACTGGGAGTCAGGATTTTCATCCCTATCTGGCCCAGTTGAAAACATCTGGCCTTTTATTAGCCTATTAGAAAGCTCCCATTTGCTTCGGGACCTTTCTTGGTTGGCCGATGTTGCAGCTCTGTGTGATGGACAGGCTTTAGGTGTGGAGGCGGATTCTAATCCTGCCTCCTTCCAGGGCTCTCCTGAGCTCTACAGGTTGTAAAGCGCTGTACCAGCCTGGACGCTGTTTCCACTCTTACCTTCCTCCTTTGTGGTGGGTTATAAATGAAGGCAAGCTTTGCTTTGTGCTGAGACCTGATAATACAGAACTTCATCTGAAGTGGGTGCCCAGGCCTGGCACACTGCAGATTCAGGCTCCCAAGGTATTTCTGACTGTTTCATTAAGAAAAGCATAGTCTTCTATTCAGAAGTGGTTTGGCCCTTTGGCTAGGTCCGGTCTAGACTGGGCAGAGACCTCAGAGAGACCTTATCAGGAGACCTCGCTGCAAGCCTGGGCTCTGCCACTTGTCAGAAAGGCTTTATCTGCACAGCTCTTGAAGTTTTGCAGAGCGCGATTTTTATCCGTCCCGTCATCTGTGCCTCAGAACGGTTCTCTGAGACGAGTACTTACCGTATTGTTATCCTCATTTTACAGATGAGGAAACTGAGCTTGAGACATCTGCCCCTGATTCCACAGCTAGGAAGTGGCAGAGGTGGGCTCTCTTGATCCCAAGTCCAACATTTTTCTACCTGCACCATGTCTTGGCAGTCACTTCAGCTTTCTGAGCCTCAGTTTATTCATCTGTAAAATGGCGGTGTTCATCCTTCACTCTCTGCCCCACAGGGTATTTTAGGGGAAATGCTTAGCAAACCTCCACGTACAGAGGAGTCTCAGTTGTTTGTCCTTCCTGTACCGAGCACAGGCCTCTGGGACTGTCTTTTGTGACCTCTCTGGGTGTCTCCCTTAGCACTGGTTGGGGGTGAGAAGGGATTGGATGGGGGTCATCCAGAGCCAGCTTCTTCCTTCTTCCTCTGCCGGCCACAGCCAGCGCTGTCGCAGACAGTGAGACCATCCCCTTTACCTTGCAGACAACGCCAAGCCAGAGACCCTGGAGTTGTTCTTTTCAGTTCACGGATGGCTGATGGTGCTGTATGAAAGAGATTGCCGCCGGCGCTTTGCCCCCGATGATCACTGGCTGCGGAAGTAAGTGACGTGAGGGGCCGAGGGGCTTCTGGAAGCAGCCGGGTTTGTGGTGGCCAGCCTCGGGTCAATGCCGTCAGGCTCTCTGGGCAGGCCCGGCCCTCGTGAAGCATCTGCTGAGAGCATGAAGGCAGCCCCGGGGGCAGGCAGCATCCTGAGCCTTTTCTATGTCCCGGAACCTGGGGGTTCTGGTAAAAACTGGGGCCTCCTGCTCAAAATCAGAGTTTTAAATGCATAAAATTAAGTACAGAGCATGACAGTGGAGGTCAGTTATAGTGGGATAAACGTGTATTCTTTTCCCATCCAAGTTCAGGGATCCCAAGTTAAGGATCCCTGATAAGGGGGGAAAGCGTGGGCCAGTAGGCACAAGGTCTGGGTTCTAGTCCTGCTGCTGCCACCAAGTAACTGTGCAGCCACAAAGAAATCACTGCCCTCTGTGGGCCTTGGGTGGTGCTGTAATGTTCACATTGGAGTCCATTCCCAGGCGCTGCTTACGCTCTTGTTCAGTCTTCTCAAAGAGCGTGGACAGTGAGGGGATGGGGCTAGACGCTCTCTCAGCGCCCATCCAGATCTGAGGTTCCAGGGTTCCTGCTCAGATTGCAGCTGGGATAGATGCCCCCTGAGAGGCAGGGCAGACAGTTTAGGGAAAATAGATTTTTTTTTTAAAAAAAAAAGGTGCTGACCGAATCCTAGATGAGAAGTTGTTCTCAGATCATCTGGGCGGTCGGGCAGACCACATTTCTGTTGACACGAGCCTCACAAACTGTCCCGGTTGGAAGGGGCCTCCAGGCCCATCACCGTCGTCCCATCCCCACCAAGTGGCCTTTGCTCGCGGACCTCTGGCAGGGAGGATGCCTGGGCTTCCCTTTCTCTTCCTTGGACAATTCCAGTGGTGGGAAGCGCTTCCAGGCCTTGGGCTGAAATCTCTGTGACTTCAGCCCCCTGGGGCCCATCACTGGCCGAGCCAAGGCCCAGATAACCACGTGAAACCTCAGGGATTAGTGTCTGCCCAGTCCTCTGTCCCTCCGTGAAGGTGGGGCAGGTCACGTGAGAGGTGCTGCCCCGCAACCCTCCAGCAGCCCTGTGGAGTGAATCTCCTTAACAAAAACGGCAGACTTTCATTTTCTGTCTGTTAGATTCCAGCTGTCATGTAGAATTAGAGAAAGTGATTTCTCCCATCTCACTTACTTGTTTTCTCTTTTGTAAGGGATCTCAAACTCAGTGTGCTTTTCCAGGAACTGGAGAAGGACAGGAAGCGTGCCCACCTGATCCTGCAATTCATCCCTCATGTCATTCCCCACAAAAATGTGAGTAGCGGCGGAGCTCGGCACTCCCCTCCTTCCTGAGGCACTGTCTCGACAGTGTCCTGATTGTTTGTGTTGTGCATGGTGAGGCTCCACTTTGGGAGATGGCCGTGAGGCTAGGAGGGGGCCTGGCTGGCGGACTCTTGTCGGGGCTTATGGCGAGGTCCCCACGACGCTCCGGACTCTTCCTGAAAACCCAAAGCCTTCTCTCAGCACTCGCTGTCAAGCCAAATGTCCAAGTGTCCAGTCAGCACTTAGGACGTGCCAGGCTCTGGGCTGGGGGCCCGGCCTCATTGGTTTCTTCCTCAGGTTTTTCTGGGTCAGTTTTGAGAATTATTTTCTCGTAGCATATTCCTAACTGATGTTGAGAATGAGTAGATCCAGCTTCAGGGCATTTCAAAGACCCTCAAGTTCCCCTGCAGCCTCTCCCTCAACTGGATTTCCCATTGCTGCCTCTCACCTGATCTGGTTGTTCCCTGTGTAGGCCTTCCGTCTCCTGCCTCCCCGCCTAGGAATGCCCTCCCTCCTCGTGGCCCACCTGCTGCTAGAGACCTTTCTTCATCCTCACCCTTCCCTGCCCTTACACCTCTAAAACTACTTTGAAGTTACCATGTATAGATTTTGTATATATTTGTCTGTGACCGGTTTCTCACTCCTCCCCCATTCCCCAAGAGAGTTCCCTAAGGGCCTGGGCCCTCTCCTGTTTTGTTTTTGGGTCTCCTGCCTAGGGGAGAGCTCAAGTAAATAGGGGCTTAATGAGTTCTTGTTGAGTCTGGGAATGGATGAAGCCCTTTCAGTTCAGTGAATGTTTGCTAAGGCCCAGATGCTATGTGGTAGGCCCTGGAGGGCGCTGGGCTTCCAGAAACAAGGGAACATGGTGTCTGCCCCCAGAGGGAGCATGGTGTACATGGGGGTAAACAGATGGAAAAGAGGCAGGTGTGTGGAAAGAGGGAGGAGTTGAAGCCACCCCCAGACGGGGTGGTTGTTGGGATGACAGTAGGTCTGGGGGACGGCTTCAGAGTGTTCCTGGAGGACAGGACAGAGGACCAAAGCTGGGCCTTACTAGCATGACATGGGGGAAAGGATACATTCAGGAAACCAGAAACTTAGAGACTTCATATTGATCTGCACCGACACTCTAAAATGAATTATTCTGCAGAGAAGATGTCAAGTCTAAAAATGCCTGGGTGCTAAGAGCTGCTGTAGGGAGGTTCACTGCAGGTTATATTTATATGCCAGATGACAAAGAAGACACTCTGAGTACAGAAAGGCACATCCCAAAGGGAGCAGGGAGCCAGAAATGGGAAAGGAGTGTGGGCAAGGACAGTAAAGGATGTCCACCTGCCTGAGTGGGGCTCGTGCGGGCTCTGAGCTGGGCCTTACAAGGGTGGACGGTCTTCCGACTGGGCCAGTGGGCACCCATGGCTCAGTTATAGTCACCCGTGCCCACCGCGCTCCTGGCTCGGTAAGTCCGGATCGAGATCGGCTTCGAGCGGGGCCCGGGCGGCGGCCGTGGCGGTGGCGGTACCTCCTCCTCTGCGGCGTCCACTCGTACTCTTGGAGAGGGACTCGAGTTATAGTCACCAGCAGACCCACGTCACTCTTTCTTTTAGGGTGTGGCTTCCCTGGACCATTGGTGCAACATTCACAGGTCCCACAGACTTGCCTCCGCTGCCAGCTAGACTTGTCAAAACCAGTCGGTGGCACCTTTCTTGGCCTTCCCCGAAGGCCCTGACCCCAGGGCTGTCACACGGTGGTTTTCGCTGGGCCCGGGGTGCTCCATTGCTGACCCCTGCCCTGGCCTGTCTTTGCTGATTTCAGAGAGTGCTTCTCTTCCGAAACATGGTGATCAAGGAGAAGGAAAAGCTCGGGCTCGTTGAGACCAGCTCGGCGTCGCCTCACGTCACGCACATCACCATCCGAAGGTCCCGGATGCTGGAGGTGAGTGGTCTCTGCCACCGAGTCAGTAGTGACGTGTTTGCATTAAACGTGGAGAGGAGAAGTGTTCTGACTCAGTAGAACCTCCACGCTCTTCGCTGGCTCGGGTGCACGAGAGCCTTGGGGAAGCGGCTTCTGCGCCGCTGGATGCTGGGCGGCTTTTCTGGCAGCCGCCGTCCGCGGTCTTGCTCTTGATTTTAGAATCCATTTGGTTGTGAGGTGTCAGTGAACTGGCCAGTTGGGTCTCAGGCCAGGCTCCCTTCTGTGTTTCTCTGGTCAGCTGCCTGGGTCTTAGAACCAGCAGGCTTTGGTACAGAGTGATGACGTCTGGGTGTTCCACAGCGTCAGAGCCTGAAAACTGGGCAGAAGTGTGCCCTTGCCTTGTCCTAGTGTGCAGAGCCTCTAGGTGTTCTGAAGGCTCGAAGGGTTTCATCCCTGCCCGTGACCTGTGGTGGCAGACTGCATTAGGTTCATGCTCACTCCCAGTCCTTGGGAATCCCTTTGACCTCCCGCCACCCCCAAGATCAAGCAGAGCATCCTTCCTGTTCTCCTATGTGCCTGGGCTCCATTCATTTAGATATCTCACTGCCTCAATCTGGCATCTCAGGCTCTAGCCCACTTGTCTTTTTTCAAAACTATTTATTAAAACCTTTTGGTTTTGGATGTGACGCCCCACCCACACCCACCCTGTGTGGAGCCCTCCTCATAACAAAGAAAAAACAGGGCAACAGAACCCAAGGTTGGATCCCAAACATCGCCCTCTCGTCCCACCCTCTTGGGCCTCACAGCCCCATGGGCGGAGGGAGGCCTGTCTCAAGACTTATGGGGCCATTGTTGGCTTTCATTTACCCAGAGCTCAGCTCATTTTTGGAATTGTTGGATAAATTGTTCCTGTTTGCCTGGATTCCTCGGGACGTCTTCCAGCTCAGTGATGTGCTGGTGCCCTAACGCCATGCTTGCTGAGCAGTTCTGCCATTGACGAGCGGCCTGTCTTAGATACTGTATTAGACCTGGGTGGGCCATGTGCCCAGCTCTCCCGTTGTCCCAGGTGGCCCAGCCCACCTTTTTAGCCTTATCTCTTCTGGCTCTTTCAGATGCCTCCTGGTTTCCCACCTCTTTGCCTTTGCTCATGTCCCTTCTGGCGTGCCCCCCCTCCCCCCAGCCAGTCCTTCAGGGCCCAGCTCAGGTGCTGTCTCCTTCAGGATGCCTTTCCCAGCACTCCCTCCCCCAGGTCGATGTAGGTCTCTTGCCTCAGAGGCCCTTGCCACCCTTGGTCCTGCACTAGTCCTGAGCTGGCATGCTGGGTCCTACAGTAATGTGTGTGCAGTTGTTAGCTGCCCTCCTGGCCCAGGAGAGCCTGGAGGCCAGCGACCACACAGCGACTGACCCAGAGTTGACACTCAGTAAATCTTTGTGAATGTGAGCCAGGTGCAGGGTAGAGAGGAGGACGTCCCACACTCCCCACGCGCTTCTGGTCTAAGGTTCCCAGCCTACGAGCTGTGGGACCCTGGGGAAGTCACTTCACTTCTCTCTGCCTCAGTTTTCTCATCAGTAAAATGGGGATAATAATAGCACCTATTGCCCAGGATCAAATGAGATATTTGTGAACTACTTTGTAAACCTTAAAGCACCATGTAAATGCAAGGAAGGACAGAAGGAAGGGAGAAAGGAAGGAAAGAAGGAAGGGAAGAAGGAAGGAAGGAGGGACAGGAGAGAGGAAGGAAGGATGGAAGGAAGGGAGGGAGAGAGGGAGGGAGGGAGGAAGGAAGGACAGGGAGGGAGGGAGGAAGGAAGGAAGGACAGGAGGAAAGAAGGGAGGGAGAGTTTGAGGCTCATGAATCGAAGACAGCTTCTTGGCATCCTCGCATTCCAGCGGCAAGTGCTGCTCTCTGTTTGTGCCTAGAGAGCAGGAGGGCTGTGGCGGTGGGGGGGGGAGGCTCTTGGGCCTGACCATTTGTCAGTGACCTATTGGCTCCATGGTTCCCAGTGGGGAGCAGAAAGAACACTCCCCTCCACTTGGAGGTCAGGGAGACCTGATTTCTAATCCTGCCTGTGTGGGTGTGGGCAAGTCCTCTCCCCTGGTCAGGTCCAGCGCCCTGCACCGTGAGGCGGGTGCTCACGACGCCACGTCCTGGGGCTGCTGTAAGGCCCGCAGCAGACCAGGCGGGTGAGGCTGTGTGAGCAGAGCCGCGGCAACCTGGAGGACTTGGCCCACAGTCCCTGCTGCCGCCCCCCCACCCCCGCCCCCCATCAGATCTCACTGCACAGTTTACTGTCTTGAAAGCTCGAGGCTCCAACAGAAGTGAGTCCTTTGTCCTAGCCGACACCGCCCAGACTCCCCTTTAGGAAGAGGGCTGTGCAGGGATGTCTCCGACCAGCTCCATCCTTTCCACAGGCTCAGGGATAGGAGCGATGAGGCCAATTTTCCCTCTGGCAGGCGCCAGCATCACAACTGTCTTGGGGCCCCCTGGCCATTAGACTTGAGGAGCAGCCTGGGGGCGAAGGAGGGGAAGGGCCTAGAGAGCTGCGTCTGAGGGACGCAGGAGGGTGTGGCATGGTGCTGCTGACGAACTGTCCCTCTGGTCTGGGCAGGATGGCTATGAACAGCTGCGGCAGCTCTCGCAGAATGCCATGAAGGGTGTGATCCGTGTGAAGTTTGTCAATGACCTGGGGGTGGACGAGGCCGGCATTGACCAAGACGGAGTGTTCAAAGAGTTCTTAGAAGAAATCATCAAGAGGGTGTTTGACCCAGCGCTAAATCTGTTCAAGGTACATGTTGGGGGAGGGCGCTGGAGGGGACCTGTGGTGGAGGAGGGGGCGGAGGGGCCAGGCCCAGGCTGTGAGGAGCCCCCAGCTCACCCCAGGCCGTCTTTGTGCTTTGTAGACGACCAGTGGCGATGAGAGACTCTACCCTTCGCCCACGTCCTACATCCACGAGAACTACCTACAGCTCTTTGAGTTTGTGGGGAAAATGCTGGGCAAGGCCGTGTATGAGGTGAGCTGTGGGCGAGAGGGGGCCAGGACGCTGGCTGTGCTGCCCTCGGGGTCTGTGCGCCCTGGGGCGAGCCCAAGGTGGGAGGGGCTGGGGCCCCTTCCAGCTGATAAGATCATCTAGCCTAGCAGCGGGAAGTCTCCAGGCTTAGCGCAGTCCCCTGGACACCCCTCCTCAGTACTGAAGAGGGAGGATGCTGGCAGCTGGGCTTTGGAGTTGGAGCCTTGGGGCTGGTGGTCCCGACTCCGTCACTTCCTGGGCCACTTCAGACAGTTGACCATGCCTCTTCAAGCCTCAGTTTCCTCATGTGTAGAAGGGGAGCCATTCCATTTAAATGTCAGCTTCCCTGGGCTGATAGGAGGGCCCGGTGGGGCCTCATTTATCTAGTGCTTTGGGACCCTCATGTGCTTTCTAGGTGCCAGGCCGGAATCCCACGGGGGGTCACTTCAGCTTCTTTTCTCTGTTTTTGGGCTCCATGGCTGTTGTGAAGAGAGCAGGGAAGAGTACAGGGAGCTGGAGTCAGCAGACACGCCAGGGAGGCAGCCAACGGGGCCAGGGGCTAGCCTGAACTTCAGAGGGGGGAGCGAGCCCCTTGTGGGGCAGACCAGGGGGAGGCAGGCTCAGTTCCCCTTTTCCTACTTAGTCAGCTGAATTCTGAGCAATAGTGGTAGGCTGTAGACAGCATTGGTCTTTTTAAGTACCCCCCCTCCCGCGCGCCCTCTGTTATCACTGGGGGGGGAGGGGTGGGGGGAGCCAATTCAGATCTTTGAGAACTACGGAAACAGACCAGGCCCCATGGGCCTCCCTCCCCGAATCGTTTCCTGGGGCTGGGGAGTATTTGGGAGTCTGTGCTGTGGGCCAACATAGAAGAGTTCGTTTCATGCTTTGTTACAAACGTAAGAGACAGTGACGTTTACAAACAGAAGAGCCACTAGCGGGGACGCGGGTGTTAGTTCCCAAAGAGTGGGGTGGGGTGAAGGAGGATCCAGACGAGGGGGACGGGGTTGGTGCTGACAGTGCACAGAGGGGAATGAATTGGCCTCCCTCCCTGCAGTCTTACTGAGCCGAAGAGTACAGGGGGTGTGGGAAGGACCTCAGAGGTCGTCGAGTTCAAATCCTCAAGGATTCCTCTCTTGGCATCCCTCGTGAGACGTCCAGAGCCCCTCAGGTCCCCGAATCCTCCTGGAGACGTCCTCAACTGTGGGAGAGTTGTGCCGTCTGCCAGCAGCCAACGTCTGCCGATGTCGTGGCCCCATGCTGTCCCCTCTGCGGCTGAGCCCTCCCCAGAGCAGCTCGAACGCCAGCATTCATGAAGTGCCTTCTGTATGCCAGGCACTGCGCTAAGGCTAGGGATGCAAAGACAAAGGGTGACGTGATCCCTGCCCTCAAGGAGCAGACACTGGGTCAGAGGGGATCCTGTGCATAGCACGCACGTGCACCTGCAGACATGCCTGTCTGTGCAAAGTGGATAAATACAAGGCAGTTTGAGAGCTGGGACGCTTGCAGGTGGAGGGGCCCAGGAAAGGCTTCTTCTCGAAGGTGGTCCTCATACTGACCACCATGGGGCCTCCACGTTCTCCAGGCTCACCAGCCCCGGGTCCTTTACCCTGGTATGGTCACGTCGTCTGGCTTTGTTTCCCGGTATATCCTCGTCATTTGCCTGTACCAGCCTCTCTTTCTATCGCCTTACGTTCGCCACCTGGGTGAACGCTCTGCTTTTCCCTTTTGCTCTGTCACTAGCGTGAGGCCCAGGGACCAGGGAGGAAGGCTGGAATGGGGACGTACTTAGGAGCTGGCGACCCCCTTGCCTTACATTCGTGGAGGACGGTTCTGGTCTATTTTCTTTTTAACATCATTGCTGTCCCCAGGGTGCCACGTGGCTGCAAGTGATAGGATCCCACAATCTCCAAAGAATGAGCAGGGCACCCCCACGGCAGTAGAGACCTTCAGGCAGGTGGTGGTGCATTCCCAGAGAGGCATTGTGCCTGTGATGAGGTGTGTAAGACGTCAAGGCCGTGGCTGACCAGCATTGGAGGCCGGCCAGTCAGTGTCAAGAGCGTTGTCCAGAGAGCCCCTGGCAAGTGGAGGGTGTCCCCGAGAGGACTTACGGGAGACAGGAACAAGATGTGGACACAGGATAAGAAGACGCAAAGGGGTTTCCATCAATGGCAGAATCCCATTAGGGTCTGCTGCTCACCCACACCAGGATGATGCGGGAGCTGCTGAAGACGTGTTCCCTCCTGCAGCTGCCCGAGGGTTGAGGGTCCCCGGGCAGTGTCTGAGGCTTCCTTCTCTCTTGTGTTATAGGGGATCGTGGTAGATGTGCCTTTTGCTTCCTTCTTCCTAAGCCAGCTGCTTGGACATCATCATAGTATCTTCTACAGCTCGGTGGATGAGCTGCCTTCCTTGGACGCGGAGTTCTATAAAAACCTCACTTCTATTAAGGTTGGTGTGATTTGAGCCTCTTGGCATCCGTGAAGCTGGAGGGGGCTTATAGATGAGTGGGAAGGCCCGAGGAGGACGCAACATGATTATGAGGAAACAGCACCAGCGTCCCTTCGCTTCTCCTCCGTCTGCTGGCCGAGGTCCGCTGCTAGGAGCGCTGGCTCGAGGGGCTGGGGCACTGCCTCTCATAGTGGCCCCAACTGTGTTGAGTAAAGGAAAGGCCTCTACTGGAGGGGGGTTTGTACACCGAGGTCGAGATGCTGGGAGGATTGGGTGTTAGGAAGGAGGCACTCGGGGGTCAGGAGGTTGGGGGCTCCCGCTTCTGTCCAAGCTATGAGCTACCCTGCCACTCCCTCCATTCTCATTAAATTGATTTAGGGTTCATCTTAGTGGCCACTACAGGCTAGGGGCCCCTTCTGTGAGCTGGATCCGGGGGACCTAGAGGGGGAGTTTGTCCTTGCCAAGACAGCTCTTTTTGCAGCCCTGAATGTCACAATCAAAGGAACACACTCAGGAGGAGGAAGGAGAGCTCTAGCTGGTGGACATGGAGTTTCTCGGCCCTGACACCTTTCCCATCTCTTTCTCTAGCGCTACGATGGAGACATTAGTGACCTGGGCTTAACGCTGTCCTACGATGAAGATGTGATGGGCCAGGTGGGCTCTTTGTGTGCTCCCCTTCCTCTGCTTGCTACAGCTCTGTCTCCTCGGCCCTCTGGGTCTGTCTCCAGGCCCCGCACGCAGGGCCGCTGGGCGGCAGGGGCCTGGGAGCTCTCCGAGCACATCTAGGCCGGGCCCTTCTGCTGCTGACCCCTGTGGAAGCCTGCTCTGTAGAGCCGGCTGTGCTGATGTCACAGCTGGGGAGAGTTCTTGTTGGGTCTGTAATCTTCTCTGGTTGACGTGGCTGTTGGTTGCCGTGGTGTGGATTAGGCTCCGGCAAGCCGAGGATTATAGGCCTTTTAGTGGGGGAAGGAGCCTGCAGGACAAAGGCTGGCTCTCACTCACAGCCTGGCCGTGTTTGTACTGCTCAGGAAGAGGGAGGAGGGAGAAGGGAGACTCCAAAACATGGAGGCGCACTGGTCTTTTTCCCGTGGCTCCTTTGGAGAGCTCCTCTGTCTCACTGTCTCTGGTAATCCACACAGATCTGTGGGTGTGGGGGCACACGTGGGCATGCACATATGATACATACAGACACACGCACAACACACGTGCACACATACATGCCACATTCTGTCTCCAAGAAACCAGATCTGGCCTGTGTTCACCTTGGCTTATGGCCGATCCATAAATGGGAAATGAGGTCTCCTGAATTTGTAGGGAAAATTGCCCCCAAGTCTAAGCACGAAGCAATGTTCCTTTTCTATCAAGGGCGAGGGTGGCTTTGGGGGTTCCTGGATGTGCCCCACAGGAGGGTGAGCACTTTTCCTCTAACCTCTCGCTCTGTCCTTCATCTTCAAGGCTAAGTCAGGCTAGGTTGGGGTATCAGAAAGGACCCTCTGGGCTCGCGTAGGCGGACCGTGGGAGAGCCAGTTCTAAGTCTGTCCCCGTTCTGTGATTATCCCGGGAGTTTACCTAGTCTGTCCGTCTCCAGGAAAATGCCTGTCCAGTAATTACAATGCAACCTTCTTCCTCATCAGCTTGTTTGCCACGAACTGATTCCTGGAGGGAAGACCATTCCTGTGACAAATGAAAATAAGTGAGTATCACAATTAGATTCTTCAGGTCATCACTTGGAAAGACATCATTCTGTCTCTGCAGCCTTGCATGGGGGATTTATTGAGATCGATGGAAGTAGAAAGAGGCCATAAAGACTGTAATGGAATTTGCCAGTTACAGTTCATAGGCAGAAATTGTATTGAATTCGATTTGCAAAGTTAGAATTGACAATCTGTTGTTTGCACTAGTGCTTCTGAGGTCAAAGGCGGCCAGGCCGTGGCATTCCGAGGGGCTTAGTGACAGTTCTAGATACAGACGGATGGATTCTGAGCTATCCAGGTGCACGCGCACAGAGGGACACCTCACCTGGGAATGATAGCTTGTGGCAGGCGTCTGAAGGTCCTTCCTCCAAAGGCCCTGTGATGAATCCAAACGTAGACAGTGGTACTTAGACACAAAAAATCAGAAGCACCTTGGAGCCCTGCAGCTATTTTCACAGATGACCAGCTTTAGGAATCTGTTGTCAGTGTCAGCCTTTGGAACCTGTGAAAAGCAGGCTTGCCTGCCGCGCCAGCACTGCCCATCCTCATGCCCAGCTCATTAAACCCATTGATCTGTCTCATGCTCAGGAGTCAGCATTGGCCCCTATCTCTATCTCCCTCTGTTTGACAGCCTCAGCTGAGCTTGCTTATCGCTGCCAGCAGCCCTCCAGTGTTGAGGCAGGGAGGGCCCACTGAGCTCCCACTAGCTTGGATCCACCAGGCTTGAGGCTGGGCAGATTGGTCAGCCTGGACTGAAAGGAATCCTTCTATCTCAGACTTATCCACAAGAGCAGCCTGTTGGGGCTCAACAGAAACTCAGCTTCCACCTCCCCTAGCCCCACAGGGCTGTCTGAGACCAAGACCGGACAGGCCTGGCCCATGTTATCTGGCACACACTGCTGTGATCATGCTTCATTTCATGCTCTACGTAGAGGGTTAGGCATGCTAGCACAGAGAGCACTCCCTGAGCATCCAGACCGGGACAGGAGGCCCTTTGGGTGGTCAGAGGAGCCTTTCAGATGCCTTCATTCCGTGAGGGCAGAAACTGATCCTGGCCCAGAGAAGGGAGGGAGAGAGGAAACTCCTGCCCAGTATTCCCAAAGGATAAATGGGAGAGTCAGGTCCTTGGATGCCCGGTCATTGTGTAGACACGGAGAGAGCTCAATAGGGTCGGCATCATCTCATTTGATAAGAGGAAGCAATGAGTGTACTTTGTAGGGCAGGGCTGCTTTGGTGCCTTCCTGCTGGGAAATGCTGCTTTCACGCTGGCTCTCCATGTCCTTCTGGGGTTCCAGCCTTAGCCCAAGGGGCAGATTCCTCCATGCCTGGCACAGCTGGGTTTTCCTTTAGCTCCTTACTTGGGACGCTGGCTCTGAAACTACTGGGAAATAGCCCTTGTCTTTGGGATCTCTGAGATGAGGATATTTTTATTAACCTGGTTTAGAGTACTTATAGGCAACAGTTAAGGAAGGGGTGCTTTTAAAATACATGTTAAAGTGTAACATGATTTCTTAATACTTTGAGTCAAAGATTCGTAGAATGTCAGAACTGGGAGGGGCCTTAGAACCGGGGATGTCAGAACTGGGAAGGACTTTAGCAATCCTTGGTTCAGTCTCCTCATTCAGTAGGTGAGAGAAACTAAAGCTTATACTTAGGAGCAATGACTTGTCCAAGGTCAAACAGCAGATTTGGTCAGACAGTCAGTTTCTCTGACTCTCAGGCTTAAAGAGCTGCTGGTGCTAAAGCAGCATTTTCATGGCTAGTTAATTAGTTCTGAGTGTAATGGAAGTAATTACTTTGGAATTCACTCATTTAGAGTTCATGGTCATGAGACCTTGGCTGGGCTGAAATTACTGAGCTGAACAAAGATTTTGCTTAGGAAATCAACAGAGGAGACTCGACTTTTGTGACTTATTTAGCCTCTTTAGGAGACTTAATTGTATTTTAGTTCCTTTTGCATAAGAATGATTTGAATGCTAATTTTTTTGGGGGGGGGTGAGGCATTTGGGGTTAAGTGACTTGCCCAGGGTCACACAGCTAGTAAGTATCATGTGTCTGAGGCCAGATTTGAACTCAGGTCCTCCTGAGTCCAGGGCTGGTGCTCTATCCACTGCACCACCTAGTTGCCCTGCTCCTTTGGAATTATCTTGGATCATTGTCTTGATCAGATAACTAAGTCTTTCACAGGTGATCTTCATTACAATGTTGCTATTATTGTGTACAATATTCTCCTGGTTCTGCTCACTTCACTTTGCATCAGTTAATGTAAGTCTTCCCAGTTTTTTTGGAACCATCCTGCTCATCATTTCTTATAGCACATTTGTATTCCATCAACATCACAAACCACAACTTGTTCAGCCATTCCCCAATTGATGACCATCTCCTCCACTTCCAATTCTTTGTCACCACAAAAAGATCTCCTATAAATATTTTTGTACAAATAGATCCTTTCATCTTTTCTTTGATCTCTTTGGGATACAGCCCTAGAAGTGCTGTGGCTTGGTCAAAGGATATGCATAGTTTATAACCCTTTGGGCATAGTTCCAAATTATTCTTCGGAATGATTGGACTAATTTACAGCTCCACCAGCAGTACATCAGTGTCCCAATTTTTCTCACTCCCTCCAACATTTATCATTTTTCTTTTCTGTCATGTTTGCCAGTCTGATAGGTATGAGGTAGTGTATCTCAGAGTTGTTTTAGTTTTTGCATTTATCAATATTAATCAATAGAGATTTAGAGCATTTTTTCACATGACTATTGATAGCTTTGATTTCTTTTTCTGAAGAATACCTATTCATATCCTTTGACCATTTATCAACTGGGGAATGGCTCTTTATTTTTATAAATTTGGCTCAGTTCCCTATATGTTTAAGAATGGAGGCCTTTATCAGAGAAACTTGCTATAAATTTTTTTCTCCTTTTTTCTATTTTCCTTCTAATTTTTGTGCCATTCATTTTATTTATGCAAAAAATCCATTTTATGTCCTGTGATGCTCTCTATCTCTTGTTTGGTCGTGTTTGGTCTTGTTTGGTTTCTTCCCTTATCCGTAAATCTGACAGGTACATTTTTCCGTGCTCCCCTAATTTGCTTATGATATTACCCTTTGTGTCTAGATCATTTATCTGTTTTTACTTTATCTTGGTATGTGGTGTGAGATGTTGGTCTATACCTAGTTTCTGCCAAACTGCTTTCCGATCTTCCCAGCAATTTTTGTCAATGTTGGGGTCTTACCCCAAAAGCTTGGCTCTTTGGGTTTATCAAACACTAGATTACCATGGTCATTTACTCCATTGTACTGTGTACCTAGTGTATTCCACTGATCCTCCGCTTGTTTTATTTCTTGGCCAGTACCAGATTATTTTGTACTTGTACTATAGTGTGAAATCTGGAACTGCTAGACTGCCTGCCTTTGTTTCCCTCGATATTCTTAACCTTTTGTTCTTAGTAAAACTGATCTTTTGATTAAAGTAAGGCAGGAAGATTACCTCTTGAAAATTTTTTGAAGTGAATGTTGAAAACTAAAATTAATTAATTATCAAAAAAAAGAAAATTTTTCATTATTCTTAAAGATCATCTAATCCAACTCCTTATTTTACAAATAAGGAAATAGAAGGCCATGGTAAAAAAGTGTCATAGCCACAATCAGAAAATATATTTTGCTTTTTGAAAGCAGGTTTGAGAAATCCACATTATCTCTCGTTTGATAAGAGAGACTAAGAGAAATTTTTTAAATTGGTTGGTTTTTCATGGAAATAAGAGAGAGTGAATGTGACATTCTTCATCGTTTCCTTTGGCTGAAAGCATTACCAGGGTTGACATACAAAGGCCTCCTGCTTATGAGGTGGTCTCTGAAGCCCCTTCCAGCTCCGGGATTCTGAGTCAACAAACAAACTCTCTCAAGCACTTAATGAAAAAAATGGGCTATTTTGTTAACCTGAATTCTTCTTCCTTTTCTTTGGAACAGAATTAGCTATATTCACCTGATGGCCCATTTCCGGATGCATACTCAGATCAAAAATCAGACAGCTGCTCTCATCAGCGGATTCCGCTCTATTATCAAATCTGAGTGGATTCGAATGTTTTCGACCCCTGAGCTGCAGCGCCTGATCTCTGGTGACAACGCAGAGATTGACCTCGAAGACTTGAAGTAAGGCAGGGATTGACATCTGCATGCCCCTTAGAAAGTGGGGTGCCAGGAGCTTTCCTGGAGGGGCTTCAAGAGGCAGAATCACCGCCCAGGTCACGGGGACAGTTGCGGTTCTAGGGGCGTGTGTCGGCCTCTGTTGGGGAGCGAGGCCAACCCCCGATGCTTGACCTCAGGGATTCAGGAGACATTGGCATTCAAAAGCAATGTGGCTTTAAGGGGTAGCAGTGTTAGAGCTGGCTGGTGAGAGAGTTCACTGAGCCTGGGTGTGCACGTGTGTCATGGTTATCGGTGATTCTTAGTTCTCCAGTCAAATACATTCTCTACTAAATTTCTAAAAAAATTATTTTTCAGGAAACACACTGTGTACTATGGCGGCTTTCACGGCAGTCATCGAGTCATCATTTGGCTTTGGGACATTCTGGCCAATGACTTTACCCCAGATGAGAGAGCCATGTTTCTGAAGGTAGGTTCATCTACCTCTTGAACATGGATGTGTGCTGGGGCACGGATATTCTTTGTAACCTCATATGGTAAGGCCACAGTATCCTGTGACCTCATGAAGTAGTAACTGCTAACTCATCAGGCACCCTTTCCCTGTGAAGGTCATGGTGCCAAGCCTCTGGATGTGGGACTTGAGGGATTGAGACACATATGGGGGTGACATCCCCAGAAATCAATCCTGGGGACAACCAGGACCCTTCAACGGCAGGAACATTCAGTCCCACTGGTCTGTCTGCTTAACAGAAAATCCATGGGCCTTGTCTGCCCCCCAAGTATATCCAGGCCTCTACGTTCAGGGGAGTGTGGAGAGCCCTTGAGCAAGCCTCAGAAGCTGAGTTCCTGTCTTAGCTTTGCCATTTACTAGACAGTCACCTGACTGCCCTCTGCTTCAGTTTCCTCTTACGGAGATTGGGAATAATAATACCAGACTCCCTGACAGGACTGTTGTGTGGAGAGCCCTTTGGGAGCTTACAGTGACCCTAACATGTGAGGTGGTACTTTAGATGTCCAAGTTACCTCCTCCCAGCAGTGAATGGCCCTGTGACTTTGAGGGCTTTGTTGCTTTTTATGACACATTATCAGAAAAAAAGACCCCACCCCCACCCCGCAGGCCCAGAGTCATCCTTCTGCCCACAGTTCTGCTCATTTTCTCCTGGGATGCTGAACCGAGGAAGAGAAAAAAGTGCAGTTGTCCAGTAGAGGGACGGGCAGCATTACATCTTCATTTTCACTACTATTTAACTGAAGTTTTAGCATTTCCTTCAGTTTTGAATGTAGGCAGCAGACATTCTGAAAAGGGTCACCAGGCTGCCCCCAAAGGTGAAGGATCGCTCCTGTATGTTTAACGTTTCGGGGCATCAGTGCAGCAGCCGTCAGGCTCTCTGGCATTCTCCATCCTTGCCGCATCAGCCCACTTTCTTTCCGTCATACGTCGATTTAATGGCATCCTCTTCTCCGCTTCTTGTGAGTGGGTCACTGCTGGACTTAGGCTGCCGCAACTGACTTGTGCCCATCTCTTGGGCATCCTTTGGGTCACCTGCAGCTTTGATTTGTTAGAGGTTGTGATGTTCCAATATTCACAACAGTCTAGCATCATGAGGAGAACATTTGTGTTCTTAAGTTAGTTTTTTGTGCCATCTGGAATCATTAGAAGTTCCATTTATTTTCCAAATGTAATCTGACACGCCCTCTTTTCCGTATCTGGGCCTGATGCATTGTCCATCTTCAGTGTCTCGCTTAGATTTATGAACTGACATACTAACTTCAGGGGTCCGTATTCTGAGTACATAATAAGTGCATAAATTGTTTTCATTCATTTTGTTTTCCTTGTGTGGATTGTTAAACTGCTCCCTGCTGAAGAATGCTAGATTCCCAGCAAGGAGTCCTCCCAGTGCTCTTTCCCACCGCTCACATCTGGGTGCTTTGACCCAGTGATCTCACGGCCACAGGTCTGTATCATTGTAGGGATTGGTTAGGTGTTAAACAGGAAGGAGGAGCCATTTGTACAAAAAGATTCTTGGCTGCTCTAGGGGAAAACTAAGGACGATTAGACTACAGTGATTAAGTGAGAAGCCTCAGTGAGGATGGCCAGCAGCAGGAAGAAGGCTGGCCCACACCTGGCCTCACTCTCGGTGGAATTGAAAGAGCAGCGTCTACATTGGTTACAGCATAGAAAAGGACCCAGCAGTAATGTGAGCACAGCGTAGTAAAGGCACAGAAACCACAGGCTGGTGGAGGAGAAGGGGCTGGCTTTGGAGGCAGAGAACGTGGTTCAGTCCCCGCTCTGCCCTTTCCTGCCCACGTGGCCCTGGCAGGTCACTGCCTTCTCTGTGCCCGACTTCCCTTTGTAAAGTCGGGGGTATGGGCAGCGTGATTTCTCATGTCCCTCCTAGCCCCAGGCCTAGAATTGTCTCCAAAAATCAGTTTTATTAAAAATCTTTTTATTAAAGTTAGACTTGTGTACGTGTGTTAAACAGAAATGTACCTAATGCAGATTTTATGATTTTGTTTGGGGCTCAATTCCTTATTGCTGATTTTTGTTTTTTGAGAACACAGTTTATCATTTTAAGAACATTTTGAAACAACAGAACCAAAAAGAGATGACAGTGTATGATGCAAACGGCCAAAGTGTAAGCAAACGCATCAGGTGTTTAATACTGGTTGCTGATACCTTTTGTAAACATTAATTTTTATAAGAGACCCAATATGACCTGGACCGAGGGCTCACTCCCACCTTGAATATTGTGTTTTGATCCAGTTTGTGACCAGCTGTTCCAGGCCCCCACTTTTAGGATTTGCCTACCTCAAGCCTCCTTTCTCCATCCGCTGCGTCGAGGTATCGGATGACCAGGTATTGCCAGGCCCGGGTCGGGGTGGGGGCAGGGTACCGATGCCACCAGGTGAGGCTGCCGCTCCATCTGGCTACTTCTGGAGCCCCGTCCTCGTTCGAGCCTCCGCTGGCTTGGAATCATCAGAGCAGGCCGCTATAGGGGGTGGGGATGTGAGGAGAGGCATGGTGATTAGACAGGCGCTAAGCTTGACCAGGGATATGCCAGTCTGTCAGCGATGCGGCATTTCCTTCCCCCTCAGCCAGCCCTGCGTGCATTGTGTTGGGGATGTACCTTACAGCAATAACCGTCTGCCAAAGTGACCCCTGGCACGTAGTGGCGAGGGTGTTCAGTTTGGTGTCTGACGAGCAGGGGTGGGATTCTGGTTCAGCCACTGGGTGACCTTGACCACTCCCTTTGTTCCTCAGGGCCTCAGTTTCCTCTTCTGTGACCACATAGGAATTCCTAGGGTCTCTGGCAGCCCCTGACCCCATTGGGTGGGACCCCCACATATCTCTGCTCTGGGGTAGGAACGCTGAGATCTTGTCCTGTCCTGTGTAACCTCAGAGGAAGACAAAGCATGCCGACTGGTCTTCACGTTCAGTGTGTGGGGATCTAGAGGGAGAAGAGGAGTCCTGGTAGTCTGACCTTTTGGGGACCCGCTTGTCTGTCTTTGTAAATGTTGGGAGCTGCCGTCGCTGACCCGGGGAGTCCTCGCAGGCGCGTGGCCCCATGCTCGGCCCTTTGCTTGCATTGGCCCACGTGATCATAGAGGCCAAGCTGGAAGGAACCTGTGAGGACACTGAGCCCCAGCCCCTCCTTTTACTGAGGACGAAACTGAGGCCTGGGGGGTTAAGCAGTTTGCCCAGGGCTACACAGCTAGTGAGTATCCTGGGCAGAACTGAAGTGAGGTCTTCTGCCTCTGCGGGTGGCCTCCATCCCGTTGTGCTGCCTTGTTTCCTCCTCACTTGGGTGCCCGGTCACAGCCTGGAAACCCACTTAGCCCTTTGCCTCTAGTGAACCAGTGAAACAAAGATCAGAATGAGGGATTGAAGTAGAATGAGTTATGCATCAGCAGAAGTAAAAAATAAAAATCAAACCTCCCGGGGCAAGTCGTTTGATTTCAGACAGGGCAACAGTAAAATCAGAGAGTTAAGACAGAAAATCAGTGCAGCCGCGTTCTGCCTGAAGCCCCGCCACGGTGGAGCCATCTCTGGTGGAGCTATACGCGGGTGTGCCTGCACGCAAGTATGTGCACACGCATGTGTGCAGGCCTGCACCCATGGCAGCCAAGGGCAGTCCAAGCAGCCGGTGGGGAGGCCTTGTAGCACGTTGGGGCCTGTGGCACAGGCAGACAGTCGGCGGGGACGCCTTGTAGCACATCGGGGCCCATGGTACAGGCAGACAGCCAGGCTGGTGGGGAGGCCTTGTAGCGCATTGGGGCCCGTGGCACACGCAGACAGCCGGCGGGGAGGCCTCGTAGCGCATCAGGGTCCATGGCACAGGCAGACAGTCGGCGGGGAGGCCTTGTAGCACATCGGGGCCCATGGTACAGGCAGACAGCCGGGCCGGCGGGGTGGTCTAGTAGCATGTCGGGGCCCGTGGCACACACAGACAGCTGGCGGAGCGGCCTCGTAGCGCGTTGGGGCCCATGGCACAGGCAGATAGCTGGCGGGGAGGTCTATAGCACATCAGGGCCCATGGCACAGGCAGACAGCTGGCGGGGAGGCATCGTAGCGCATCGGGGCCCGTGGCACAGGCAGACAGCCGGCGGGGAGGGAAGCCTTGTAGCACATCGGGGCCCATGGCACAGGCAGACAGCCAAGCCAGCGCAGCTCAAAGCTCGGCTCTCATTGTGTGTTCACAGGACACGGGGGACACTCTGGGCAGTGTGCTCAGGGGCTTCTTCACCATCCGCAAGAAGGAGCCGGGGGGCCGCCTGCCCACCTCCTCGACCTGCTTCAACCTGCTCAAGCTGCCCAATTACAGTAAGAAGAGCATCCTCCGGGAGAAGCTGCGTTATGCCATCAGCATGAACACTGGCTTTGAGCTCTCCTAACCCTCTCCGTCTTCCCCTCCCCTCTCCCCAGCCTAGGCGGGCAGCCACTTGCCCTCTGCCTTCCCAGATGCTTGTGCACGGCCCGACTCAGGGAGGGACCTTGGGGGCGCCTGGGGCAGGAGCACGTGAATGGCCACGGGTCTCAAGAAGGCTGCCAGTGATCACTTACAAATCAACGCTGTCCGTGTTATTGAAAAGGCAGGCCTCGAAACGAAGAGACCTTGGGGTTTGCCCGGTGTGGGCTTGAAGCCTGGTGTGGGCTTGAAGCCTGGCGTAGACTTGGACCCGTTCTCCCCTGCCCTGAGGCCTGAGCCTTGTGTCTGGACACGCTTCGCTTCTGTCCTGTTTTGTTTTGTTTAATTGTCTGGAAGCCCTTCTGAGTGAGGTGGTGCAGTTAACGCCCCAGCTCCGAAGGTCAGGAGTAGGACCTGAGCGGCCCAGGAGTCCAGCCCTCCAAGCCTCTGCATTAGAGCTACTTCCCTTCACTCAGGTCAGGCTTTGCAGCCGTGACGTCCTAAGCCATCACGCACCGAGCAAAGACCCTCCACCCCCACCAGACTCAGACAGCCACTTGGGGGCTCTGCCTGTAACCAAGGCAGTTTTCTGGTGGGGAGCATCTCAGGCAGCCCCAGAGAGCATCAGCCACCACACTAAGGAGCCCGTCACTGCTTCTTCCTGGGAGTCGAGCAACGTGTGGACTGTTCTGCCTGATGTGATTGGGAGAGTTCCAGAGACTGCTCTGGGTTGCTGCTCAGATCCGGCCAGAAGGGCCTGTTCTCCTGTGTCTGGGAAGGCCAAGCTCTGTACGATCCAGCTAAGTGATTAGCTCTGAAAAGTCCCTCTCTCACTCTATTAAAAGCAAGTACTCAAGCCTGATGCCTTTTTACAGAAATGCCACCAGAGTTTAGATTCCTCCCCAGGGTCCCCATCTCTTCCCATGCAGCACTTCTTTTACCAGGTGAACGCTGGCACCCCCTCCGCAGATGGAGCTGCCGTCCCTCCGTGTGGCTTTGTTCTCCGTCCCTTCTGGCATCCCCAGACGCGCAGAGGAGCGGCTGCCCTTGAGGACTAGCTCCTGCCCGAAGGCTGCTCATCTTTCCCAGCTGTTCTGGAATGAGAAACTCACCCACTTAGCCAGGAGCCACAGCCCAGCCCAATCTGTCAGCCTCCACACCTCCACCTTTGTGTTGTCAGATGAAGCTTAGTTAAATTAAATTAAAAATTCAGTGTCCCTCTGTCAGTGAGGAGCATAGGACACTCCATGTCCAGTGGGTGTGGGTGTCTGGATTCCCTCTTGCATGGTGGCCTCAACATGTCGAGTCTGTCCTCTCTACCGCCATCGTGAGAATGCTTTTCTTCATGTGTAGCTGGGAGCATCTGGAATCTGGGCCGGTCCAAGGTCAGTGGCCAGCAGAAGGCCACGCTCCCTCTCTTTTGAGCTGCCCAGGGTATGTCGGCTCCCCACCCGTCACAGTTAGCAACGTCCTGGCTCGTGCGGTGTCTGAGCAGGCCCGGCTGCAGAGCTGGGCCAGGCAGGAGCTGTTCACACAAGCAGTGAGGTGGTAGGGCCTCCTGAACAGGAAGGTGGTCGGGGAGTGGGGGTTGGAGAAGGAGCCTTGGTCACCCAACAGGTGCAAGCCTGTGCAGACAGGTTCGTTTTGGGGACAGTGTCATGAACAAGCAAATTTAAAAGCCACAGATTTCCCCCCCTAAATTTCCTGACATTTGTTGATTTTCTGATCCTAACAAGTGAAAAGATCTCCTCATTTCAGCCTATGATACCATCACCTTTTAATTCTGATAAAGACCACTCCAAGAACAGGCATGCATGGGCATGGGGACGCGTGGTTTAAAAAAAATCAACTTGGTTTTAGGACGGGAAGATGGAGCTTGGCTGCCATCTTGATTTTCATTTCCAGTGAATGGGAATGGGAAGAGTGGGTTGGGAGTGGCAGGCAGGTCAGGGAGGCAGAGGGTTCCATGTAACTGTATAAAACTTTTAACATTTTAAGTATTGCACTATCAAAAACGCTGAATCTATCTTTTTTTTTTTAGCTGATGTACAAACCATGATTCTTGAATATTAGCACTCTGATGACTACAAAAAGTTTTTTTTTTCATAACTAACTTATGTATTAAGATGTGATCAAAGGCTTTATTAAATTTTTACTTCATTGGATGATCACTTTGTGCCCTTTCTGCCCCATATCTCTTTGGTTCATAGTTATAAAAGGGAGCCAAGAAGGGAAGGATTGAACCAGCTAAGATGAATTTTATTTGCCCTGTAGAAAATCCCAGTGCTCAACTTGGCCTGGATCTCCCAAAGGTCAGTGGAGGTCCATGGTGAGCATAGTCTTCAAGAACTGGCCCAAGAGAACAGTTGTAATGGGGGAAAATGATGGACCAGTCATGTAGCAAGTGTGAGAATCGATTGATAGGCAGCCTGTAGTTTTCCATTATTTTCCAACTTGGGAGAAATTCAAAATAAGATTTGATTATAAACAGCCCCTGTCCTCATAGATATAAGACAAACTCGAATACAGAACTTTACCCTAAGTAAATTAGAAATACAGAGCAAAGTGCTATCTGAGGTCCACAGGGAAAGGTGGCTACCTTCTATGGGGTGATCAGGGAGGGCTTCCTGGAGAAAGAGAGGGATACGGGACACTCTAGGCAGAGGGAGCCGCTTTAGTAAAGAAATAGGGGCAGGAAGGTAGTCTACGTTGACTAACCCTGTCTGGTTACCAGCAGTCTTTTCATTGTGAAATCTAACGGCCTTTTCTCACTCATCCCCTTGTAGCGTTTAACGTGGTTGATTATCTATCTAGGTTTTTGTGATGCTATTTTCCTGGTTCTCCTACCTCTGACTGCTCTTCACACTCCTTTGCTGCCTCTTCCTCCGTCCGTGTCATGCCCACTAACTATGGATATTCCTAAGGTTCTATCTTGGACCCTCTTCACTTTTCCCTCCACACCAACTTTTTAGCACTCTTCTCAGTTCCCATAGATCCAACCATCATCCCTGTGTTCGTGATTCCCAGATCTACACATTCAGCCTTAGTCTCTCTCCTCAGCTCTGGTCCCCCCCATCACCAACTATCTATTGGACGTTTCTAATGGAATGTCCCCTAGACATCTCAAACTTAACAAATCTAGCATGTCTAGAACAGAACTCATTTCCCTCACCAAATCTATCCTTCCAAATTTCCCATCCTCCCAATCACCCAGGTTCACAACCTCGGTTTCATCCTCTACTCCACCTTTCTCTCTGATGAGTCACAAATCCTGCCCTGTTTATAGCCAGAAGGTCCCTCACACGAGAGCCCTTCTGTCCACATCCACGGCCAGGCCCTCTCTCACCTGGACCGCTTTAATATTGGTCTCCATGCCCCGTCTCCCCTCGCTCCATCCTCCACCCAGCTGCCAGAGGATTTTTCCTAAAGCCTAGGCCTGACCATGTCAAACCCCTGCCCGACTAACTCCACCGGCTGTCAAGTGAATCCAGGATCAAATATAAAATCTTTTGGCATTTAGAGTTCTTTCCACCTTGGCCCCTTCCTACCTTTCCAGCCTTCCCTCTCCTCACTCTATGATCCAGCCATGGCATTCCTGGTTTATCTCTTGTCTCTCTGTCTTTAAGTTCATTGTTCCCCATTTCTGGAATGAATGCTTTCTGTCCCACCTCTGTCTCCTGAAATCCCTGGCTTCCTTCAGGACTGCTCAGTCATCTGCAGGATACCACACCACCCACTGGCCAATACCCTTCCCCTCAAGTCACCTCCCATCCATCTACTCTTTGTAGTTTGTATGCACCTTTATATACACACTGTCTTCACCATTAGCGTGTAAGCTCCTTGAGGGCAGGGATTGCTTTTTACCTTTTCTTCATATCCCCAGCACTTAGCTCAGCGCTTGTCACACAGTGTGGACTTGATAATACTGATGGATGGATTGTAGTGTCCATGGAGGGGAATATAATGACAGGTAGAATGGTTCCTGACTGTAGGGAGCCTGGAATGGTAGACAAGGAGGTTGAATTTGATTCTGTAGGCAACTGGGAACCAGATCTGTCCGTAAGAAAACTATTACGGCTGACAGGAAATTTGTCCTTGAGAGCAAGTAGAAATGAAAATACCCATCATAAGGTTTTTGCAGTATTCCAAGGGAGTGATAATGAGGGTCCTGTACGAGGGCAATGATGGTCAGTAGGAATGGAGATGAAGGAATAGATACTTTAAGCGATCAGCCGGACTTGGTCATTGATTATCTGTCTAGTAGAATTTCTCTCCATTAGCCTTCATCTTACTTATTGCCTGTGTGTGGGGAAGGAGAGTAGCGCCATGATCTTTTTGGATCAGATAGATTTCCTGAGGACTTCCTGGTAACGTCTGATTTTCAAAGAGCAGCTGAACAGCTGGGAGAGGTGGCTTCCTTTTATTTTAAGCAGTGTTTTCACTCCTCTTCAGGGCCCTGCCCCAGCATTCAATATGGCTTTTGCTACCACGGCTGGAGGGAGGGAAGTACAAAGAGCAGGAAGACTGCATGTTCCTTCCTTGGTGTTAATCAGACTATGAGACAACATCCCGTGTGATTTCAAAAGTAGGAATGAGGAAGGAGTGGGGACAGTAAGAATCAATCATGTGTCCTTCCGTCAGCTCCAGGATTCCCAAGGCCTTGCACTGGAAAACTCGCTTGCCATCAGAGCGGTCCGGTAACAGAAAGGACTGCTCGCTGGGAGTGGGCTCACTGGAGGTCCTCGGGTGGACACCGAATGACCACGTGGCAGGGACGTTGTAGGGGGAGGTTGCTGGCTAGGTGGGGTGTGAGTGAGGAAGTCTTCCAGGTCAGATCTTATCCCACCCTCCCCATCCCTTCTCCAAACTGAACGCCCCACGTTCTTCCAGCTATTCCTGGGATGGCATCGTCTTCAGTCCTGAATATCATGAAGCCGTGGGCAGGAAGTGACTAGAAGGGGTAGAACTTATTTTTAGAGATATGTAGTAGGATGTATGTTTTAGCATGATGTAGTAGGATATAGGTTGGAATTGAGAATCAAGACTCAGGTTTAAATGGCATACTTTGCATAGCCTTCAAGAACTTTTACCTAAATTATTTTGGAACCATATTCTCATTATCCTCTCCCTCCCAGGGCTGCCATGAGGATCAGATGAGATAATATTTATGAAGTCCTCGGTGTAGTGCCTGGCACATAGGAGATGCTTATTTAGTATAGACTTATTCTATTCCGTTTCATTGTGGCTCTGTAAGCTGTATGTTCTGAAGTTCCCCCATGATATTCCCGATTAGCCCACTCTCCTCGGCCCGTTTGTTGGCTCTATGAAAGCTGATGAGCTGTAGGGGCTTCTATCTCCAAGGCCACACAGCTAATGCCTCAGAAACCAGACCCGGGGCTCCCGGCTCCTGCTCATCCCACCACACTACCTTGCTGCCTGAACGCTTAAAAAATTAAGCTTTTTTGTGATGCGATCTTTGGGTGTCTCCTCGTTTTTTATTTTGTCTTTTTATATCCCCAGTGCCTAGCACCGTGCCTTCATCACAGTAAGTGCTTAATAAATGCGTGTTGGCTCCATTTCATGGGGGACTTAAGATGAGACCTTGGTGGTTCTGCCACTTAGAAACCCCTTGGATGGAGTTTCAAGGTAAACCTTCTTTCTTCTAAATTTTACATTCTTGTGATTTGTGGTACAAGGAGGCCAAGAGACCAGCGCCTCCTGGAGAATGTAAATTCCTTGAAGGCAGGAATTGTTTCTTTCTTTTTTTTTGTCCTTGTGTCCCCAGCACCCAGTAGAGTGCCTGGCGCACAGTAGGGGCTTAACAAATATTAATTGAATCGAATTGAACTCGTGCCTAGAGGCCCTTGTCCCCGAGGGACAGTGTCCCAGGAGGAAGCAGCCGGCGTTCTGGAGACCTTTCAGTCAGGAAGCCACGGGAGAACAGGTGCTGCTTCCCAAGAATTCTTGGATGAAACTGGGCCGTCCTCCAGAAAAGAGTGTTGTTCACGAGCGTCCCCAAGCCGAGATGCCAACATGAATAACGGCCTTAGGCAGAGCTCCCCCTGGAGCTACCAATCCAAAGGAGAAGTGAGCTGGGCTCTCCCTTTTCATCAACAAGTTTTATCTCACTCTTATCATCCAGGCACTGTGTTAAGTACTGGGGATACAAAGAAAGGCAACATCCAATTTCTGCCCTCCAAGAACTTTATCCTAAGGTAGAGGGGAACAGGTAAATGGCTAGGTCCATACAATGTCTATACAGAGAAGATAGAAGGTAATATGGGAGGGGACGGCCTCCTGCAGCGGGTGGGATCCGAGCCGCGCTGAAGGAAGCCAGGGTAACTGGTGAGAAGGGGTGAGGGGCCAGAGCACTCCAGATGTGGGGAGCGGCAGATGTCAGCTCGGATAGCCAGCCACAGGGGTTTGCCACTGTCGTGGAGAATGTCCAACGCAGAGTCTGGCTGTTTCAAAAAGGCAGATTGTGTTCCCCATCCTGAAAATGTGAATGCGGCCACACCGTGCCTGGCACCTATTAAGACTCTGTCTGGCTGAGGGGAATCTCAGAAGCCTGTGATAACGCGTCTGTGTTGAATGTAAGCTTCACAAGTAAGGATCGACTCCTCTTTGTCCCCATGCACCTAGTGCAGGGCTCCTGGAACACAGTAGATGCTTAATAATTGCTCGCTGGTTGATCAGCAGGGCGCCCTACTCTACACATCAATTGCATGCTCTGCGTTTGTGTGCGTATGCAGGAGTGAACATGCCCGTCCTGCCTCAAAGAGGAGAATGGTACAATGGATACAGGCATGCCAAAGGGCTGAACACCTGGGCTCAGGTGCTGGTTCTGCCGCTGATTACCTGCACGACTCAGAGCAGTTCACTTAGCCTGTTTCTAGAATAGGGGGTGATACTAGTTCATGCCTAGACCCACCTTATCTAAGTTCTAATATTCAGTCTTCACGACAGCCTTGTTTAACTGAGAGTGCAAGGATGATTACTCCCATTTTCCAGGTGAGGAAATTGATTTAAACGATATGCCCAAGATTGCACAGTTACATAAGGGGTGGTCAGGATTTGAACCCAGGTCTTATGAATCAATAAATCTATCAGTCAGCATTTATTAACCTCATGTTGTCTTTAGTCTAGTTCTAGCCGCAGGGATG